AGTATCCTCTTCTTGACGAAAGCTGCCTTGGCCATGGCTATCCTTGCTTTTACTTCCTTGGTGCATAGGGCGTCCGTCGTGACTATGCTTCCCAAGTACTTGAAATGCTCCACATTCTCCATCTGTTGGTTTCCAATTACAATGTTCAATGGTCATGATGAAAAATGTGGTGCTTGATTTGAAATGATGTCAAAAGCAGATCCTGTTGATACAGTTACGTGCTTGGACAATAGTGTTTTAAAATAAAGAGTTTTCATTTATTACCACTCATATAAAATATGCTAGATGTTTTTCCTTCCTAACTAACCAACGAAATCCACCAACCACATCCACAGAGGAGAGTGCTTCATGACGTATTAATAGTCACAAGGATAGCCAAGAAATCTTGAGCATTTTTTGAAACCTGAAGGGTCAGTAATGTGCTCACAAGTCTGTTGTTATCCCAAACCAAATTAATCAAGTCCACAGCTTTTCGCCCTACTTCTTGATGATCATTTTAATATTATCCTCCCATCTATGCTTAGGTTTTCCAAGTGGTCTATTGTCTGTAGAATTTCTGACCAGAACCTTTTGTGCATTTCTCATGTCCAACGTGCCTGCGCAATGAATTCTCCTCGATTTGTTTATGAAGTTCCTCATTATGCAGTTTTCTGTAGCCTCGTATTTTTCGAATGCAAGGCAAAATAATTGTATAACAAAACTCAGATAACATAGCATGGGATGACAGTAACATATGAAAATTACATTCACAAATTTGTTAAGAACAGATTAAATTCAGGACGTGCTCGCTGCCTTTCAGTTAGTCTCTTGTTATACAGTCTACTGTCTAAAATGTTAACTTTATTAAAGGAAATAGGGGATTTAAACCCCTAAACTTTGGGACTGCTGGCTTCTTCTGTGGGCATAAAACTTGTTCTCACCCTAAAGGGAGAATATGTGTAGGTTAAGAGCATATAAAATGCTGAGGATAATGAATTCCTCTCGGGTTACCAGCCATGTAAGGCAGTTCTCGAAATGTTGGTGTTTCCTCCATTAAACCACCTTGAGCCCCTGCTGTAATCATATTACACTTTATATTTAATTCAGAAATTTACAAATAAAAATTAATTGACTTGACTTCAAGCTCCTCCACGCAGTTTGGTTCATCAATCGTCCTAATGCAAATACAATTATAATTATGAAATAAATCAAGGTTTACTTGCGTTCCAAATTTTCATACATAATAAATAAAAATACCAAAACTTGCGAGCTGTTTACAGAAAGACCAGAAATGAATTTAAGGCCATAGAAGACTAAATTTAATTTAGAAGAAGCAGCTTACTTTACAGATGTAAACTGAAGGTCAACCATGGCCGTGCAGAGGAAGGATCGTAACCACACTATGGTCGTAATTGCACGAGCCTACAAACTAGAATGACAAACCATACCACACTAAAATCATGTCAGGTTATTGTTTTAAATCATTACATGCTGTGAGAAATGATGGAAAAGGGGTAACAACTATGTAGAAGGGGAAACAGCGATGAATACAGGGCTAGAGAAAAGAGACAAGGAGTTTTCCTGAGCCTGTTCCTTGCTGAGGGCAAACTACTTAGCCAGCGTGCTCAGTTCACAGTTAAGACATCTTACACATTCTTAACACAGTCCTTCAACTCTCATAAATGTAATTAAGTTCATTACATACTAACAACTTAGCCTGCCCCACTTTCAGTATCAATTGTAATATAAAAAATCTACTTTATTCTTTATCAATGAGCAATCATTTTTTGCAAATTATTGATTATGAAGTTGGTAACAGATTTATTTTACAATCCTGTAGTTTGTGATGATCGGTATTAAAAGCATCCAAAAGCTCGTACAGTTATTTTGTTATGTAAATCATAACCTAATATTCTTACTTAAATATTGAGTATGCTATTGACTTGTTCGGTCATTCATATCTCTTACAATTTTTTTAAAAATTTATATTAATGTTAGTAACAGATCGAAGTATTGGATGTGTTCATTCTCATAGATGGAGGCAGAATTAGCCATTTTTCTGCCCAGAACAACTTCTGAGACCTGCACACTACTCCAACGTGGAGGACCAAGCAACTAAACTGTGATAGCAATTTTATGACATTTACATTTTTGAGTAGTGATTTAGCATAAAACAAAAACATTAAAAATGCTCTCAAAAATTAAGGATCAATCAACCCTCTTGTTTTCTCATCACTGAATATTGCGGATGGGTGGTTAGCACTCCCGCTTCTTATTTGGGAGGTCTAGGTTCACATATCTGCCTGGAGACTGGCTCTATTAACAGATTTTTCGTGGTATTTCTCAGTTCCTCCAGGAATCTACTGGGATAGTGCCTTAAATTAGGCCATGACCGCTTCATTCCATAACCTGTCTAATCCATTATTCATCCCGTCATTCACTTTGTCATAAAATAGACCACAAATAAACAAAACAGTGGTTTGGTTATAATGTACTGGGTGCATATGCCATTCTTTCACATATCTCTCCCCCTCCCAGTTTTTGTTGGTGTTATTTGCTTACAGCTGTTACTACAGCTTCGTTGCATATTTAAACTTCAGTTGGAAGACAGTAGTCTGATACGAATATCGTTGTTTTACAGGATGACGTCACCGTACTAGATGACTCTGATTCAGAAACACCTACGTCTTCATGTAGAGGGGTTCAGTCCAGTGTTTCAGAACAGAACGAGCAGCTGATTCCATTGGCATTTTCTGTTATAGATAGCGGAGTGGAGGTGAATTACATTACTTTCATATAAGGAAGGAATGTTGTGTAGATATGTCCACAGAGAATTCCTTTTATTGGGAAAAGTGCGAAGTCATATATAATTTATCATGGTTCCTCAGCGCACAACAGAATGCATAATTATTTTTCTCCATGACAGGAATTTCTCATGTGATGGATGTAATATGGTACAGACTTCATAGACCTGTTTTTATACACATGAAAGCTCTCTGATGTTAATGTATGTAACGTCTCTGCAAGGTGCGATTGAAAAATCTCTGAATTGAAGTCTTTTAATACTTAACTCTTTCTACACAGGCAGCTAAGATTTTAATTGCAATTGTAAGACTTTAACCAGGACAAGAGGATAAATTTGCAGCTGCAGAAACTTTTAATTAACATACATGAGAAGATAATATTTTATCTGTGTGATATTTCTAAAGAAAGTCATGATTTTTGCACACACAAATTGAATATGTGTCAGTCCTTTGGCTGTGAATTTATGTCACAAAATTTATATTTTGGACCTTGTGGAGTTAGTTTGATGAATTTCAGAAACAATCATTTTGATATGAATGCGATCAAAGTGTTGGTTTTGATTGTCATTTTGAAAGAGTTTTACATCAGATGACTCTAGTATTGAAATGTCTCAGGTTCAAGAACTTAGCCCAGAGACTGGTTATCCTTACCGAGATACTTTCGTGGTTTTGATTAGTCTTTCAAATCACAGGTATGAAGCATATTTCTTTAGTACAAGTAGTGCTCCACCATTGTAATAAAAAGAAGTCTATCGGCGTCATGTGACAGACATCACATATGGATTTTACTTCATTAGGAACTGGCTTGAATTCAGACACCAAGATCGCCAGTTTGGTTTTAGCGCTGTTTGTGATGACACTGTGTGTGTCTTGGAAGAAGTTTGCTTGCGCATGGAACATTAAAACAGTCTGTGACAGAGACAGTTTTCAGCAGTGTATTCAACATCCAGCTTCATGACACTACTGTAATTACAAGTTTGAGTACCTAAATTGTTTGCCATTACGTATAGAATTCATGTATCATAAATTTTTTGTCATCATTTTAACTCAAGATTCAGCATAAATTATGAAACATTCATAAAAATATTGATTTTATATTTTATATAATATGTTCTCAAATCTTCATAATGCTTTTGTTTACATTGCCGTATCTTAGTTATTGGAATATGACTGTTTTAACTAAAGGAGGAATTAATTTAAATCCATCTAGGCAACTGCAGGCATAATCACCGAATTAAATATTTCAGTGCTTGGTGCGTCTTTAAATGGTTGGCTCGTATAGCCACTAGTCTGTTGTATCCATTTTGAGAGTAGTTCCTTTAAACTGTGATACAGTAGGTGCAGAGATTCTGCCATTGGAAGTATCAAAGGAAGTCATTAATTGTGCAAGTGCAGCATTGATTTTCTTTGATTATCTTCTTCTACGGCTCTCCGGTCCGTATTCGGTCCACGGCCTCCTCAATTCTCCTCTTCCATTCAGAATCCGTCTGTCCGAGGCTTTGATCGAGGTTTCGAAACATCTTCCTTTTTACGGTTCAAGGTTGTTTGCCTTGCGACCAACCCCCCAACCTGGAGGACCAGGGTACCTGTCTTAGTCTGACCTCTCCCCCTCGACCAATCTGGCTAGGGAGGCCCTACCAGTAGCTATGCTACCGCCAGCATAGCTCTTGGGGTCACTGAGATACTCAAGCCCCACGACCCCGACAAGGTGCAGGTTACACATGTGAAAACATCTGTGAGCAAGCATGTCTGTGTGTCTGTAATGTACACCTCAAGTGAAAGTTGATGTTACACAGAAATGGTAGTAGAATTTTTAAGGCTGCCTTGCTAACTCTCGATGTCTGGGCGGTAGGTGTTAATGTACTGGACGTTTTGTTGAGTTTCTGCTTCTGTTACAGATGGAACGGATAACGCAGATTCATAAAAATATACTATATTTGCTTTCTTTTATTTTTAATTAGGATCCACTGGATATTGGCAGTGAAAATGAAAATATAATTGTGAGCGACATATTAGACGCTGATACGGTCAGAGACGAAGTGAAGAATGAAATTAAAATGGAAAAACAAGGGGAGGCTCACACGGCAGCAGATGAAGTCAGGTAGAGTGCAGAGTATGTGCCAGTTGAGTGTCCTGTTCTTTATAGTCTTTGTATTTGAGTGAATACATTACTGGGCAATGTATTTTTTTGTCCAACTGCATATTTCAGGAATTTTTCTCTTTGTTACTGTATTTGGACTCTCTGTAGATCCATCAACCTTATATTCAGCACATGCCAGGGGCTCTTTTGCTGGGGGCTGAGATGTACAATGTGAAGCTTTCATGGCGGCAGTCATTAATAAAATCCTCTTGGGCTATCAGCCATGTCAAATGGTTAAAAGTAATGACTAGCCTCGATAATGAGGACAGAGATGGTCCTCGAAGTGTCGGCGATATTTGATATGGCTAATAGCTGAAGAGGATTTGATTAATGGGGCTGAGATGGTTCCATGTGTACTTTATCATTGATGGCATAGTAGTAAGGTGGCATGTTTATGTTTATGTTAGTATGTCGTGTAGATTTAACTGACGGAATATGATTCTCTGTTGCCTCATGAAGCAGGGTGGAAGAGACTATTGGCTGTGAAGATATTTCTGCTGACGACAGAGAGGCTGCGTCATCTACGCAGGATGATGAAGTCATGGTAGTGTTGCATGGAGCAGGTCTCATGTTCCTCCGTAGCGCATTACAAGCTCCAGTCACACGTCCACAGTGAAAGAAATCTCCGAGAAAGAATTATATGGGCAAGGCTCAGCGTATCTAGTGACCTGCAGCGGAGAAGTCTTTGGAACATTGTGGGAAACGGACTATAATATCTCCATAATCTCAAAGACTCACGGTACTTGAAAGAGGTAAACGCAGTTCTGTTGAGCACTCGTGATAGAAAATCCCTGCATTGCTGCTGTTCAGTAAGGTCTCTGGTATCTCTTCGTGTTTGACCAAGAAGCGGTGGCTACTCTGACAAGGCCCCAACCTGCCGCATCTCCGCAGGCATAGCATTTCGTGAACGTAGCCGTAGCTCAAGAGTAAACTATCGCAGGGAGAATAACCTGTAGAAAGTTTAATAAAAACTTCCCAGTGCTAAAGCAGATGTTGAAAATGCTCTCTTCCTGACTGAATGCACAAGGTGTACCCGCAGAACGCTGGTGTTAGTCCCCAGAAACTGCTGAAATCCCACAGTGGATATTGTTCGTTAGTTCTTCCAGACTGTGAGGATTTATTTCATATGCTTCGTCTTTTAAACTTGCCCCCAAGAAAAAGTCACAAAATATTGAAATGAGGTCAATGAAAACCTCCTGCAGAACTTCCAAACTTTTACGTGCCGTATGAGCTATTGCAGAATCCTACTGCAAGACGCTGTGTAGCCTTTCTTGTTATGTTAGCCGAGCATAAAATGGGCATAGGATGTTCACATACCTGGCAGCATAAACTGTGTCATTGTAAACGAGTCCAATTATCCTGCACGTATTGCTGACCAAAAACCAACTTTTTCGTCACGAAGAGGAAGTTCAGGAATAAGTCTTGGATTTCCGCACTCCAGTACTGATTGTTCTGAGAATTTAACTCTGAGGGCCACGACTCATCAAGGGGGAGAAAGAAAACAAAAAACTAATGACTCAACTTCTCTAACATTCACAGAGTGAAGAAACCAATTACAAAAATTTATATAAGAAGGATGTTGAAAATTAAGTGGACTGATAAAGTACGAAATGAGCTGGTCTTAGACAGGATAGGCGAAGGAAAAATCTTACGAGAAGAAGAGATAGGATGGTGGGACACATTCTGAGGCACCCAGGATTGGTTAATTTGGTAACGGAAGGAACAGTTGAAGGAAGGAATCGTAGGGGGAGACAAAGATTGGAATGTGACGCAGATTTTTGAGGATGCAAAAAATATGTGGAAATGAAGAGATTGGTGTAAGACAGACGAAAATGGAGGACCGCATCAAACCAGTCGGAAGACTGATGACAAACAAACAAACAAAAAATTGAATTCTTGTTCCTTCAAAGCATGAACTACCTTTGTCTTAATATGGTCATAGTTTTGACAATTTTACGGCCCTTCTCAAAACACCTGTCTCCGGTGCTAGTCATTTAAGAGATTTTCTTGGTGAAGTTTCAAGTCTAGTTGAGAAATTCGATAAAAGACACAAACATGATGATTCAGAGGTTTGTATCTGCATCTTCAGTGAAATGATGATGCTGGGAAAGAGGTATTTAAATAGGGTTTGAGGATGGGAAGGCTGGGGTAACCTCCCATTCGTGACCTGAAAAAACACAGACAGGCTCTCCCCAAGAACATGACACCATCCAGTGGACCCTGAAAAGGGCAGATTCCTCTACCTACTCTCCACCTAGCCCCTACCCATCTGCGGCCTGCTTGGAAACCCCTACTGATCCTGTTCCATCTCCCTCTCATTCCTTGTCCTTGATTGGCCCATTCCTTCAGTTTTCTCTTCCTCCAGCCCTGTATAAACCCCCCTACTTCCCGGTATTGTCACTTCAGCTCTGAAGATGGAGACAGTATGTTTCTACAAAACGGTGGCATTTACGAACCAGTCTTCTTTTTGGTACCATCGGGTCAGAGCTGACCCCTGGTGACATTATGAACAAGTTCCCTCTGATAGGGACCTGTTCGGCAAATGATCCAGAAGTGGTTTGCCGCTGCCTTCTTCTGTGTGTGAATGATGATGGAAATGGAGTACTTGTTGGGATGCCACGGAGAAACTGGGGAAGCCCCGGAGGAAGACTCCGTGATACCTAGACCACGGCCTAGCCCAACAGAAGTTATAAATCCGGGCACCAGCGGGAATTGAACCCGGGATCCCAGGATTACAAGCCCAGCGTTCTGACCGCTAGACCACCGTGGCGGCACGAACCAGTCTATATGGTGCCAAAACCAAGATCACCATCATTATGATGAAAGCATATCACCGACTACCACCTGTGCACAGATGTGGAAGGTCGGGGCCTGGTCGCCCCCCCATGCTGTCACGGCTTCTCAGTCAAATACGAATAGGTGCATTCTGTATATAAGATGAAACTTTGTACATCAGAATCATTGGTTCTTGATGGCGTTCTCTTTTCTTAAAATTGGGTGCTATTGTAGGTTAATAATGCTGTTTCAAAATTCCTTACTTGGACTTAAAATTTTGAATATCAGTTACTGGACTAGTTTATTTTTCTTTTGATTGGGAAAATAATAAGTTGTGGCCAGGCATATTTTAATTTATTTAAATATATTTGACATTTTGTAGTCCTAAGTGTCTTACATGCTTCTCAGTTTGTTTGTAGGCATTATATTACATATCTGTAGAATGTAACTATAATTTTTTAAAAGATGTTCATCGGAACCCATATTTAAAGTTCGCATGGGAAAGCGAGAAAATTGTTATTTAGAATTATGTGAGAGGTGTTAAAGGAGTAACACATTCCCAGCATAGAATCATATGCCCTTACGAGTAAACAGATTACAAGGATTGGATTCATGCTGGTTGTTCTGTGAACAGACAGTCGTAATAAAGTTAAACTATTTTTACTAGGCACAGGTTATATGATGAGATGTTCTGAAGAGAAGAAATGGAGATTTATTTTCGTGTTTTTTAACAGTACTTTCAGATCTCATATGTTAATTTGTATTTGATCAGTGTACATATATATATATCTGTATCATTTCGATACACAAAAGTATACTCATATATCTGTATCAGGTAATGTACTGTATGTGAAAATAGATATTGCATCAGACATTAAAATTCCTTGCTTGCGATTCGTATCTGAAATAGTAGTTGACTTAATAAAGCAGAGGTACGTTATAATGAGAGTTTACGTTTGGAAAAAATATGATGGTGAATATTTGTTGTAGGCAGTTCAACATCTGGAAATATAAAAATTGGCCCCAGAATGAAACAGCAGATCATTAAAATTATTTAATAGTACCATTTACATTGCAATAATTTTAATTCCATTTGTGTATGTTCTATGAAGCAACATATTTGTGTTACTGAGAGTTAACACTGAATTTATGAAAGAAATTCGTGCAAGTTTAAAAATGGCAGGAATTCATATTTGAATATGTTAATGTAAAATTTTGAACAAATAGTGAGTGTGTAGTAGGTAGCCCTCGATTTGCGCTGGTTCAATTTGCGCCGATTTTGAAACCAGAAAGTCAAAAAGTGAAGAAAAAAAATACTGTTATTTCTAACTTTTTACAATGTATTTCGTACTGATTCTTATACTAAATCGTAATTCTTACATCGCTGAGTTTGAATAAAAATTATAAATACAGGCATCTCTGCAATTAAGTATATTTTGTAAACGCGAATTTTCTCCAATCAGATCGATGAATTGGTTAAAGCTGTTTGTGAAATGCAAACTTTTGCATATGCGAGTTTGCTCTCATGCAGTTTCATTCCTGGCGCTTTAAACTTTCAAAGGACTAATTTAATCTCTGCGGAGGTACCGGGGTTATTTTTACTATGCGATTCTCTATAGGTCGGCGTCTTACGTTATTTCAGAGCTTTATATGTAATACCATTATATTACTCGTCCATGTTTGGGTGCTGGGAACGCATGTCATTGACTTCCCATTGATTTACATCATAAAAGAGTTTCAATTTATGCCGGTTCGTCCAGGAACGTATCCCCGGCATAAATCGAGGGCTACCTGTATGTGACAATTGAGGAGAGCCACTATTGACCATTAATTTTTAGTATAGGATCAACAAATGCAGAGAGTAGAAATTAATTAAGTAAAAAATGAACATAATTTATTGAATTTGGTTAGTTGTGGGGTATAATTACAGGGCAGTTCTAAAAAAAGAAAAGTCATAAGTTTTGTCTGTGTTGCATTTCACGCCAAACAACTCATTTGACAGACAAATTGCTGTTACTTAACTTTATGGTTACACTGTATTGAGAAAATCAGGGAAGGAAGATAAGAATATTGAGGGAAAGTAAAAGAAGTTGTGATATTGACAACAAAAGGAAAGATATTGGCAGAGAAGCTGATGGAAAACTACTGTCATCACCATGAGACATGGCACTGATAAATATTGTACAAGATTTTTATCACTTCACTAGGCTTTGGAATATACTTGGGGATATATGCACCAGAAAGGAAGATTAATCTCCAGATGGTATCTTAACCTTGAAGAGGCCCTCTTTGGGCGGGTGGAAGAGCTTGTGTGCACCAATGAACCTGAGGGCTATGCTGATGGTAGCGTAGCTACTGGTAGGGTGTCCGAAAGCCAGGTGCCAGACTAAGAAAGATACCCTGCTCCTCCAGGTTGGGGGTTGAGGCGTCAGGCAACTCCTTGGCACTCGTAAAAAATAAACAATTGCTAAACGCCCCAAGAAGAATAAGCCAGATAGAAATAGACAATGGATTGAGAAAGAAGAATAGAAATTGGAGGACATCGACGGACGTTTTAAACCGATATGTATATAAAACCTGTGTAGGTAGTATACTAAGAACTGATGTTTTCATGCTCACTAGTATGTTTCTAAAATTTTGAAACCTTAGCTGCACTGCATACAGCTGTCAGCAATCTCACCCGTATACTCCGTGAATGGTACTTGACTGTGGGTGGACTCACCGTGTTCAAAGCACAGCCAAAACCCAAGGGTTGCCATAACTGCAGACATTCTAATTTTCTGTAGATAAATAGCTGCTTTGCCCCCACCACACCTACATGACTGGTCACTGCATAAGCGTGTTAAACATTTATAGTTACTTTCCTGTGCGTTATTCAGTCATATCAGAAACTAATGAAAGGTTATTTGGCAGCTATTACATAATTGGATATTTTCCATATTGTAGCGATCACTGATGATAATGCCATGTTGGCAGGTATATATTTATGCTAGTGCAGAATGGAATTAAAAGTACTTGTGCCACTGAAAATAATTAAATATTGCTTTTATTTATCATTATTGCACTTAACAGCACTCAAAAAGACTTCTGAAAACAGACTTCTTGTCATAGGCTTTATTTCTTACTTCAGACTACTACCATAATGTATTGAACACATTTTTAATGTACAAGAGCATATGAAATATGCTTCCACAGTTCAAGATATGTTCCTGCCTAAAAATAATAAATTAATATTTACAAGTTAACTACTGCATGGTCGGCTTTGTACATGTTTGTCAAATTTAGGTTAGACGGATGATCAGGTACTGATTGATCTTCAACTGGGCCAGGAACTTGCAGAATGGTGAAGAAATTACAGAGTATAACCATTGGACCATCCATCACCCTGATGATGGAGGCAGCAAGGACTTCTGAAATGCTGGTTACACAGCACCGCAACCCATGAGATGGCCATATTCATTGTAATTATACAAATACACACTTCTTAGCACCCATTCCTTTTATTATGTAAAGTGTGAGTAATGCAAATGCGTTCAATGTTCAGTCACATCAATAGATTAATTCAATTCTAAAGGGTTTTGACGACGGTAGTTTACACTTAAAATTATATGTTGTCAGGACCTTTTCCATCATGTTTTTAAAATTCACGACGTTTCGGAGGCTGGTTCTGTCTCCGTATTCAGGTGAGAGGTGCCTACTCTGTTGGGTCCCTTAGAAAGAGCTAGTCTCTGTCACAGGACCAATAGATTAGTTAAGAATGTACGTTAATGGTGGTGACTGGATTTTGCCAGCGCAGGAGATGGACTGGTGGTGGGCTTTGGTTAATTTGGCGACGAACCTTCGGGTTCCCTAAGCCAGTTAGTTTGTTAGTTGTATGTTAATGGTGATCTCAGGGCAAGATACCAGACTCATGTCCAAATGTCCTGGGTTTGAATACCAGGTTCCCTACTATGAAGTCCACATTAAGTTGTAGGTCACCTCCAATGACTGCCACCTTATCACTGGACGGAAATAATGGGCATTCCCATGAAGGGCTCCAGAAATACACTCATCCACTTGCGAAGGGTAAGTTAAGGGAGACCAATGATGAGTTTGTATTTAACTTGGTATACTGGGAAAGTGGCTTTTGTTAAGTACGGATTTCTTCACCTCAGGATGTGTAATATTAACCATGAACACAACAACCTCATCTGCGACAATTTATTTTCTCAGAAATTCATAAATTACGCAACTCTTTCTTCATTCTAAAATATAAAAGTCAAGAAATACACGTATTTTCAAATCTCTCCTTGTTATAGCTCAGAAACATTTGTGTGAAATGGGAGATAAGTACGTGTCTTCCACAAGATGATTCCAATAACACTCACTGCTACACCAATCACGATGAACGGACGATATAACTTATTTTCGCTTTTGTCGGGTCCAATCCATTCAGGAGGATACTTGTGATCACTGAACTTAGAGGAAATGTAATGCATGTAAGATTGTAATTCCTTATGAAGAGCCTTAGTTTTGATGAGTGTAGATTCGATCTTTAAATTCAGGTCCTCAACTTTGAAATCTGACTCACTTTCATAGCTGGGTGTCATATGTATTCTGATATATGCAATGGACGCACGTACCATAGTAATCTGTCGTGCTATATTGGCAAATAACTTTATTTCATCTACCATGTTGCATGAATTCTGCATGTTTTTAATCGTTCTCATATCAAGGGACTTTTCTCTCCATCGCTTTAGATGTAGTTTACGTGTCATGTCAAGAAAACGTTTCCTGTGGACAGGAATAACAGAAAGAGCCTCTAATTCATCTTCAGTGAGCGTCAAGAATTTTACAATGTCCATTTCACTTTCCTTGAAACTATGGCCATACCTATGAAACATCCCCAGGTGATTCAAACTGCGGGCTGCATCTTGCCATAAAATCCATTTCTTCCCGTTAATACCGCACAGATTATCTCTCAGGTATTCCCATGAATCAAGTTCTGTAAGAGCTTGCTTCGTCTTGAAGGATGCTGGAACATCAGTTTCACCAGTAGGGATCTGAGCCGCAATATGATCGTGTCCCAAATCCAAGGCATGAACGTGTGCCGTCAGACCTCTAAAACATTTAATGGTCGCATCTGCTCCGGCATTCAAGAGTAGTAGTATTATTTTCATCTCTACACACTCACTGTGACGAACACTCCATATCAGTGGTGTATAACCCAAGACATCTTGAGCATTGATGTCTGCATTTCTCTTTATCAGTTCTTCCACAATTTTCTCGCTTCCTTGTTTGCATGCTATCATTAATGGTGTCATGCCATTGTGTTGCCTCATATTTACGTTGGCCCCAGAATCCAATAGAAGTTTAATGCACTTCAGTTGTACGTCCTGAGTCTGTCTCATACAGGCGCATGCGCTCATCAATACGCTGTAGCCTTGCTGGTGGGAATTTGGGTTTGCCCCTTTTTTCATCAAGAATTCTATTGCGTCATACTGACAATTTGAAGCAGCAAACATTAGAGGTGTCCATCCATGTATATAAACATCAACAGGCAAATGTTTCTCTTCAATTAACGACATCAGAACTTGTATATTACCGTCCAGTGCTGCTATACGAAGCAAGTCTTTGTCATTGACAGGTGTTTGTAACCTAACTGGGGTTTGAATCTCTTCCCTGGTTCCAGGATGTTTGACTGGATCAGGAAACGAAAGTCCTTCTTCATCTTCATCGCTGGAGAAACCGGCTGGCCTGAAGACGACCATCTTAGCCATTATACTCGCAGCTTAGCAATCTGAAATTGAAACAATTTCTAAATTGCACTGGGCAATGGTTAAGCAGCAGAGAACAACCTTTATTACCCAAGCATTACCAACATCTTGTGATGAAAAACTCTGGCTTAAGTAGTCAGGCACTTAAGTTGTTCTACATTTAATTAAAATAAATTTACACAACATAGCCATCAGCCACAATTTTCCCCTCATTTCAGAAAATATATTTCTTGGGCTCTGTCCATTACAGCTTTCTTAAATGGTAGTAACTCTAGTTCAGAATGAGTAACATGACGTGTACCAGAGGCAACTACGTTCTCATGATGCATTAACACGGCACAGCCGCAAGGAAGTGGTAAGGCCAACAATTTAGGAATATAGCACATAATGAGAAAAAAGGACCAAAATTCAGTGACTGCTAAGGTCCCACTGAGTTCACCAAAATTATTTGTGTTCGTGAATGCAACTCAAATATGGAATATTGACAAATGACAAAAAGCAGAATTAGGTGGTAGCCTAGGTTAGGTTATAAAAATTTGTGAAACATAAAATACTGGTTATCAGAAACGTTATTCATTAACAGCAGGATGTCATTATGCAATATATCAATAAAGTCTTTGGCCACAAATTTTCACTTTTATCCAAAAATAGTGACATCTAAGTTAAATTGTCAGAGTTATGTTGCAGTGAAGACAAAGGATTCTAGAGTGGTAGACAGAAACCTCTGATACTATATCCCCCACCCCATTGGTTACCAACTTCACAAAAACAGGCTTTTATATCCACAAATGCTACTAGTCAGATACTGAATGTCATAGCTGAGTGGTAGCACTGCTGCTTCACATTTGGAAGATGCAGAGACTGGCTGTCTTGTCTCAGGTTTTTTGTGGTTACCTCAGACCCTCCAAGCAAATTCTGAGATTGTACTTTTTTAGCCCATGACTACTTCCTTCCAGATCCTAATTCATTTCTCATTAATCATTCAACACTATATACTTTGAGCTACCACCAGTGTTATTAAATGGACCCTATACGGTGGGTACAAGATAACTCTGACTTCGGATGACCGTTACAAATACACACATTGAAGGGAGGCAGACAGAACACCCAGCCCTTCATTGAAAACTATTTGATGTAAAATTATTGAAGGCATGTGCCTGTATTGTTTTGTTTTATAGTTCCTTTCTTTACAAAATGCTGTGTAGTGTGTAAGTCAGTGTATCAAAATGCCACTGATTGTATCAAATTAAAAGGGGGCAAAATTTGTTTACAGTTTACATGCTCAGGCAAATTCCTGTCTTGCTCCCTTTTTGCCCTTATATCTTCCTTTCCCCTCTTACTGATAGCCCAAGCATGGAGTTATTTTGAATTTTCTATATTACTTAGATGATTACTAACCTCATATTATAAATGGCATGACAGTGTGCAAAACTCACGCCATATTCTATACTTTAAAAAAATATATAAATTTGTTTTTACTGAATGTACATCTTTTGAGCTTCACTAATGGCACTGACTTGTATCTAAAGTCTTACTGCCTACAGCTCAATACTATTGCGGCAGTGCACAAACTCTGATTACTGTTAAAGAAATTCAACTAACCTTTGTATCAAAAACAAGGCCTCGTGTACGCATGTCATGTGGCACAACCTAACCTTAAACTACACTAAAAGTTCAACCTATGAAATATCAGCTGTTTATGAAGAATGATGATCACGCTTAGATAATAAATGTTGATGTTGATTTAAAGCCATTCATATCTAAATAAATTCAACAGTCAAAACAAACCGAATTAACAAATGCAAGTTTAAATGACTGTTCACCTTATTTAACTTTGCCAAAGCAATATTCTGCATTACAACTTATAAGCTGCAGGAAAACAGCAAACTATTCAAGTTGTCTTTTTAAAGACATGATGGTAAATTATTTAGATTTTAAATATGAACATTTTGATAAATACAAAAGTGTAACGATCAGCAATGTTTACAAGCAGTTTAAGCGCCAAAATAAACGAAATCGATACACAGACGGAAGGGTTGCAAACTGGCTGAATAATGCACCGGGATATTAAACTCAATTAATCAATGAAAAGCGCAAGTTGTCTCATCCACAATATGCACGTGGGTTGGAACTCCAGAACGCACAGTTATTATTTCACGTTAAGTAGGGCGGCCAGTTTGGTTTTGAAAGGGTGTTTGACAGATAATATCGATCATGGCTGGTAAGTGATCGTTGCAGTGTAGAGCATACTGTAAGATGATGGACTCATGTTAACTTAAAAATATCTCTGACTTTAAAACGCTACCAACTCCGTAAATATGGCTCTGATTTGCTGCCCGATACTTTTAATTTCGTGTAGGATTTGAGGTTTTCACGGCGGTGAGTCATCAGGGCGATGATGGAATCAGCAAGGACCTGTGAAACGTCGGTAAACTTGTACCAGACTTCATGGTGCAACAACCCAGAAGACAGCCATCTTTACTTTTCATTTCACTCTTAGTAGTAGCTTATTCTTATAAGAAACGATTCCTAGCAGTAATTTTACTATCATAAGTTGATTTAGCCAAATTCAGAGTTAACACAGTTTTTTTATTCCGGTACTGAGATTTTCGTCTGTGATTGTGCAGTTTTTGTATGGGTAACAGGGTGTATGGGCATAGCCAACAAATAGCTGTAAATTACCCATAGTGTGGGAAAATCGTCTCACATAACATAAACGTATACTGCCTCGTCTGTCACCACAGAAAATACGACTATGTTTAAAACACGTTTGTATTTCGTTGCCGTTGGTTATGTAGAAAAGCAAGTTTGAAGTGTGGGAATTCGTATGTTGGTATCAGCTGTTTTATGGAATGGTATTTGTAATTGTTTTTACTTCTTTAGATCCTACTAGCAGATGATAATTCCATGTGGTGTAGTGTTTTGTTGATTTGTGTATAGTTTTAAAACCGAAAGTGTGTTTATTGCCTTTGATTCCGAACATTTGTGTCCGACTTAACCAATCATTCCATAATTCATATTTTTCTTGGCTATTAAAGAGTGCTTTATTATTTGCGGCGGATTTATAGTTTAGAATTATGAGAACGAATGACCATTGGTGTTACGTTATTAAGGACATGGTAAGAAAGGGAAGCGGCTTCTTTCGGCACTCTCCTGCAAGGACTGAGGCAAATCTCGAATGTCCTAGGCCACGTACCTGATGCTCCGGCTATATCTAATTTGTCTTTAAAGTAAATACTTCCTTCATCAGCTTCATTTCCGCATTTTAAATGAATTTTACTACTTTCTGTTGAATGCAAGTTGATTGCACTGATCACAAAATGTAATTTACTGCTCCAGCAGACAAATTGTGTGGTCCCTACAGCAGTAGTCACAGCGGCCTCAGTAGTAGAATCGTGCATAGAACATTCGTTGCCTCAGACACTGCTTCTGTCATGGGCAGCAGTCACATAGTTTCAGTTTATCAGCAGAACTTTTTTCTGGTTATAACTTTTTTAACCATATGTAACATGACAATATAAAGTGAACTAGAAATATTTATCTTCAAAGAAATTGTAGGAACAAAAGATATCTTTGTGAACGGACCCAAGCAGGGTAATGATGTAGGAGATCTTAACACAAGAGGCAGGATTTCTTCTGAGTTGGAGTAAGCCAGTGGCCTACCTTGTAGTCGATGTGGTAAGGAACACGACGTTATAAATGTAACATATTTTACTTTTATTTTAGGCTTGTGATGAAATGACATGGCTTTAAGTATGTGGAGAAAATTACCAAAGCTGATGTGTGTGGGGCATGGTTTTCACACGTCTCCTGCTTACAGTCATATCATCAAACTAACTCGGTTACGAGTTGTAGATAACAGTGAGATAGGAAAACGTGCAATGGCTGAGGGAAAGCCACCTAAATGCATTCATGTCTACAACAAAAAGGGCGTTGGAACAATTGGTATGTACTTTCAGAATATCTATCAAATATAGCTTGAAGTAAACAATTACAAATGTGACGACAGTATGAATATTTTGAGGTTATAATCTCAAAATGTTCACACTGATAAATCTGATATAGTTAAAAACTGTAATTAATCCACCTGCATTTTTCCCAGCAACAGTAAATACCAATTAATCCACCTGCATTTTTCCCAGCAACGATAGATACCAGTGTTTCTCCAAAATGTTGGCATTTACCTACGAGTGTTTATGGTGCCAAAACCCAGAAGAGCCTCATTGCTGTTATCCTCACTGCTATGAAAACTTCATATCTCACATTGCGATACTTTGAAATTTTCAGATATATTCATTGTTTTAAATTCTAGACGATGAACCAAATAAGTTAATTTGAATAAAAATTAAGCAATTTTGATTTTAATTTGAAGAAATATATAAACAAATTTGTCCTTATAGTAAGAAAATTTGTAAAATTGAATTAGACCTTGCGTGCTTATGAAGAGAAAGGTGATTTGGAACAAAATAGTTTAAAAGAAAGAGTGAAATAGGAAAGGTGGTTCAGAAATAATTTAGATAAAATTATAAAGTAAAAGAGTGAGGTGGCTGTGGTGGATTTAAGATGAACGAATGTGGGACGACAGTCAGCGGGCATTCAGTGGGGAGTTGAGTAGAAGGCTCAGAGGAAAACAGATGAAGCCAAGCTTTTCTTAGTCTGCGTAAACCACAATTGAATTTCTGATGCTGCTCTGTTATTTTGATTGCTTCCCTGATGACTTCAGACTGGTATGTCCAGGTGTTAGCTAGGACTTCGGCATTTTCTGTCGATAGTTGATACGCTGTTTGGTCTGTGTGGAATGTTTGGATACCCCTAATCATTGGTTCTCCGGTCAGCTGTCTGTAGTACGTTCCAAAATTCTAGTGGAGATGAGGCAACTTATTTGGCCATTGTACATGTTACCACATGATTCCACCCCCCACCAATCACAGAACTCTAATGCAAAAAACAATCCCAACCATTCTGTGTTCCTAAACATCAATCCAACCAAAGTTATTTTCACAGAGGACAAAGGGCAAATTGGTGGGAGCCCTTTCCACCAGTAGCTCGGCCCTTTGTCTGAATGTCAGCACTTCAGCAAAACAACAAACTGGCAGTGTAAGTGGTTATAGTTTATAAGGCACTTTTTTCCAATTCCAGCTGCGTGTTTTGTATGCAGGAAAGGTTTAACAGAGCACGGGATGTTGTCTTATGCATTGCGCAGTACTCTGTCCTTAGTTAGCTTTCGGTTGGTTGGTTGGTTGTCACGGATTTCACCCTGAAGATGGCAACTGCAGTGCCTGCTGAAGTATTGAAACATGTTTAACACACTGTGTGACTAAGCGTTAAAGCTGAAGTTGCACATTAAATTGTAGTCATGAAATTTGAGGACAAGCGTAGAATAAATTGGTTTTCGTTACACTGTATTGTAACTAACATGCTTCTTTCAAGTAAAATGACCTATAAGTTGAAAGAGAATGAATCATATTATAATCTTTTGGATTATGATGCCATTGTACTAGTAGTCTTGTTCGCAACGTCACAGCCACAAAACCATAACTCACTCATTAGCGATTTGAGGCAATCAGGCATGAGCGACACCATAAATATTCCAGAAGACCGCAACGCACATCCTAATTCGTGATTCACTATCCTCAGTAGTTTCTCTTCCTCTTGCTACGAGACAAGCGTAACAGCTGTCTGCAGCGTGGATTAGGCGGCTGATGTGCACAAATTATTGCTTCACCTGTTTCATTACATCGTCATCTGGGGAACAGTCTGGAAAAATCGTCTTAATCTCTGGTTGCTCTGGCATTGGTATTTCCAGTACGGTGCCAATGCGGTGTGGGAGATTCCATACCAAACCTTTAACACATTAATAATGCATATGGAACAGTGTTCAGTGCTGCTGACACAACAAGGATAAGAAGCTGTGAGAACCTCAAGTCTTACATCAGAAATTTATGTTACGGTTTCAACAACTAATCCATGTTGTGCCTGATTTTGCAGTTACGTTATTAAATAAACCAACATTCAGTGAAGCAATAAGAGTAACTCCCATAATTAGGAAATAAGAAGCTTTGATTTGAATAACAAAGACTGTCTCTCAGTAAATCTTCTTGGAATGTATTATTTTTGTTTACAAGGTTTTGTTAACGCAGTGCAGAGGTTGTGTTAAAAATATCTAAGTGGTGTGCGTCGAGAGATGAAATATGAGCCAGGTGCTTGAAGAACAAGTATTTTTACCCCCACATGATTTTAAGATGATGTTAGGTGTCATTCTTAAGATATGTGTAAATTTATAAGTTACCATCATGTGATGCTGCCACACTTTTCAGCAATTTGAGAAATTTATGTGATCAAGTATAGGATGCCATTTCATCACATTTTTGTCTTTAATCATTTTTACACTTTTATTCTATAGGCTGTCTGTATTACAGCAATCGTACATACGAGGCGCGTCCTCAAAGTAAGTTTCCCACTCGTCCCACAGCTAGCAAACCTTATATTGCGCGAAGCGACTGTGCGTACGTGATAGAGCAATGACGTAGCATGGCGCATGCACTAACGGCACCTCCCGCGTTCTCACAGTAGCATCGTTGCAGCTGTTGAAGATGGAGGTTCTTATTCCAGCCCCCGCCGACTGTGAAGTGCGGTCAGTGATAACGCTAAGCCGCACACGGCTCGACGGACAGCAAGTCTCCTGCAGAAGTTCAGCTGGGAGGTGTTTAATCATTCACCCTACAGCCCGGACCTCGCTCCCAGTGATTTCCATCTTTTCCTACACCTCAAGAAATTCCTGTCCGGTCAGCGTCAGCGTCAGCGTTTTGAGAATGACAGAGAGGCGGAGATGGTGGTCACACAGTGGTTCCAATCCCAGGGACGCGCCTCGTATTTTATGATCTTTTTAGACTTGTTATTGTTCATTTCTACTTTTCAGTCAGTTGTTATCATCCTCATAACATTCTCTATTATGACCTAATAAAGAATAAATAATGACCAGCATTGTAATCAAGACTTGATTTAATAGTAATTGACTTCAGTATATTTCTTTCACAGGCGACAAGGTCTTGCTTGCCATAAAGGGTGAGAAAAAGAAAGCAATCATTGTTGGTGTTAAGCAGAATCAGCCGGCATTAAGTCCTAAATTTGACAGCAATAATGTGGTGCTCGTTGATGATAATGGAACTCCGCTTGGGACTAGGATTCACGTTCCAATTCCTCAGGTTCTCCGAACCATACTGAAAGAGAAGAATGTGGTTAAAGGTGCTGATTATACTAAACTTATAGCCTTAGCTTCACGGTTTGTGTAAGAGTGAAGATTGTATATTCTTTTGCTAAGTACAGTCTTTGTAATGAAGAATAATTTACTTGTTTTACACGGCTTGTAAAATGAATCACATAAGTGACTTAATTCATGTGTTTCATTTAAATTGCAGTTGGTGTTTTGAAACTTTGTTTTTTAGTTAATTACAGGATGACTAGTGAAAGGACATTAAAAATGTGTAGTCGTATGTAATTTCATCTTATATCTGAAAGTTATACATTAAACTTCAGCCTTCAGAGCAAAAGGACTTCATTACTGTTGCCCTTCCATAGTTGAATTCTCCGTTCAGGGTTTTGTTCATTTGTGGTTGAGCTCCCAACATTAACGTTACGTCCATCAGTAACAAAACCCAGAGTGACCGATTTTAGTCTAACCAGTTCAGTAGACCTACGCAGATTTTGTTTGGCCATGCTGATTTTAATTTCGTTTGGATCATTTAATGGCTTCTGTGTCATCTGAACTGCTGACATCATCATTAAATAAATTAAAAAAAAATATATTCTTAAGATCAGAAATGATTTGTGTCCTGAGTCCTTTTAAAAGTTTCTGACAAAACTGCAGTAAGAATATGGCAGTTGTCTGGGTATTACCATGTTTAAGTTTAATTCAGTTTAAAGGACCACTTTACTTAAAGACCTAATTGATGTCTACATTTATTTCTTGAGTCATTTCACTTATTTCGTGTAGGTGGTGGTGATATTTGCCGTCGAAATGTAGGTTACTGCCTTCTGGACTACACAGTCTCATGACCAAGAAGCCATACTTTTTGTAAGTTTAATTTACTATTTATTAACTTTATGGCCACTTCATTTATGAACCTAATTCCTGTTGAGGTAGGTCAGTCCACCTCCAAATATGGGATGTAAAGGAGGTGTAATGCTTGCTGTTAGGTTTCTGACTGTCGATGATGTCTGGAAGAGTATCTCTTCTGAAAGATTTTCTTTGGTTGGGTCATGTTGGAAGTCTGTGTGCCAATGCAGAGCAGAAGATTCTGGTGTATGTTCTCGTTTGGCTACACAGTGGCTGGCTGTTGCCAACAGATCCAGAGAGGGGGATTTTTTCATCGTGTCTAATTCACACTTTATTCCTTCACACTAAGAGAAAATTATTCCAAAATCTGTAGATGGCCTATGGTACGAGCAGTAAAAATTACTTGAGTCTTGAACTCATTGGAATGGGGAAAACCTTCTGTAATCCAAACCCCTTTTTATGTACAGTAGAATCTGGATGCTTTTGCTGGTAAAGTTAAAAATGTAACCTGTCTCAGCAAAGGAATGTTATTGGTGAAAGTATTGATGAAGACGTGCTGTTGAAGACCTGGAATCCTGTTCTATAAAAGTGGAAAGACATGCGGCTCTGAATTCTTGTTCCAGATGGTTAGGACTCACTTCCTTGATGGCATTTCTGAGAAAGCAACATCAGGGTTACTCAGGTCATTTTGTGTGTAACGCCTGCTGACTCCTTACGAGAGAGGACAAGAAACCAATCTCGCTTTCCGCTGTTGCTCACGCTGGAAGTCCCTACCTCGCAAACTCATATTTGCATCTGATACAAGGTACGAGACAACATCACCTCCAAAACTGCTACCCAAAATTACAAAAGTTTGCTCTCCACCTGAGAGTTTGGACTCACCACATGAAGGAGTAAGCCACCAGACATCTCCATCATGGGAGGCAGAACAACAAAGTAACGGCCACCATTAGAATTGCCATAGCCCATCTTTTCTCACGGATCTCTCTAGACTAGCAGCAGTGGAATGTTAACAGTCTCTCTGTGGAGTTTTCTGGTATATATGTTGTCATTCACCATCAAAACCCAGCGGTTTAATGTCTGGAAGAAAAACACTGCATCACGCCTATACATTTAACATTAATGGTTTTCAGGTTTACCACTATGACCGTGTCGATGTTGGTGGCCAATGGCGAGGTCTTTATTTTCACATGAAATTAAATGGAGATCCATATTACATTGAAAATCGATGTTCGTATATCATTGCATTCATGTAACTATAGCATCTACAACTCGCGGGTTCAAACCTGGCCGAGGTCTATGGATTTTTAAGGGTGATAAAAATCCGTAGCACGACTTCCCTCGGAGGGGAAGTGGGGCCTATGGTCTCATGTCGTAGATTTACGGCATGTAAAAGAACCTTGCGGTCATGAACGAGATGTTTCGTAAGCAAAATTCAGCGGCCATTTCTCACTCAAGTCTCTCGTGATTCTCTACTAGATGGCTCTGGGAGTCAAATCGGGAATGAGTAGAAATTGTGCAGAGGCCGTGGGCTGGTCACTCACTACTCTTAGATGCACACTTCAAAGACAAAGAAACATCGCACATGGGAGGAAGTCAAGGCTCGGCTTTGCGCCATGGAATAAGTAAATCAATACCATGTAGAACATCTGTTTACCATTTGGCATTCTAATATTAAAGCTATTTTAACACATTATGTCTCTGTTACTCTTCCCAGTTGTCACAGTCGGGGATTTTAATGCAAAACGCATTTGGTGTCTCATACCACACTGATGATAAGAGATACATTTGTTGCAGACAGCGTTATTAAAAACATTGTACTACACAAACATTTGTATTAACTAAGTGCAACCTCTTATGCTCTGGATGTAGCATTTTACAGCCAAAGATCATGCATGCTGATCGAATTGTCTGACCTCTCCAATCTTCACGGAAGTAACTGTTAAGGTTTACGTTGCAATATTCCGACTCGAAGACGACGCCTACGAACTGGACCATGAAAGAGGCCGAATGGGAAAGGTTCACTGGCTCTGTGGCATAGACGCCAGCGAGTATCCAACTACCGTCATTTCGTTGGTAGAATACTTCACAAGGACCATTCTGAGGTCATCCACCGTACCTCGCCGTGTTTTTACACCGTGATGGACAGACGAAAACCGCAACTGTTTATATTGACTCCTAGCTCGTCCGTTCCACGAACGAGTCTCGCCCAACTTACGTCTCCAACGATATTTTTCCTAAACAGTTCCATTTAAAAACGTTGAATAATATTTTCTGAAAAATCGGCAAGGGCTCGTGTCGTTATCTTTACGTTCCTATATAAATAGACCTTAATTCGACGTATCTTTCATGATGAAGCAATTGATTCTGCCGATTACGTAAACTGAATCCTAAAATCATTTAAATGCAGTAGAAATGAAACTGGTTTTAACTCTGATATTTAGGGCTCTGATTTATGATTGTACTCCACAAGGTTCCTAATTCTATGCGTATCCTGCATTGTTCAGGCAACTTCCGCAGCAAACATGACAAAACCAGCTGTCAGGGTGATGTGCCGGGGTCAGTACGTTCATGATAGGAGGTGTGGCCATTTGTTAACCACAGCGTCTCTCGTGGAACATCGTGATTAGATGGCGGTGCTTTCAAGAAGTCTAATTCTAGTGTCGTTGTTGTCCATTATGGCGTTATGTTCCTCATCAACAGGTAAGGCTTAGAATATTTATACTATGTACTATTACCACACTTTAATATACATAAACGCTGGGTTCGCGATCATGGGAAAATTTCTTATGGAAATAGTATATTGTCTGGATACAATTAATTTCTTTGACTCCGTCAAGGAACTAGACCGGAAGTGGGCAAATATTCTTGTGTAGGATTTGAGGTCCTCACAGTTGCAAGTATGAAGACGACTGTCTTCTGGGCTGTAACGCTGTTAAGTCTGGTACACGTTCACATACATTATATAGATACTTGCTACCTCAATCAGCTCACTCGTCGCCCTGACGATGGAAGCAGAAAGTACCTTCGAAACATCCACAAATTTGTACCACACTTTTCGGCACTACAACCCAGAAGACAGCCATCTTCAAGAATTTTTATATTTGGGTCGATTGGGTGTGACGGTGGGTCTGAGCATTTCACGAGGAAAACTTGTTCAAGAATTGTGAACGTAGATAAAAATTGCGGATATTACAAAATGCACACAGAACATAACCTTGGTGTTAGCAACGGGAAACGGTGTTTTTAGATTGTATAATAGGCATACATACCGCGGATAGCATCTTAGGTTAGCTTCATTCCACAGCCTTCCCAATTCGATATTCATTAAAAATTCGACGCGATGTAGTCTCAAGCACTAACAGCTTCTTTAAGTAAATTATAAATAAATAAAAATTAAAACAAATAGATGACAGGAAATGGAGACACGACAATGCAAGGATAACAAAATTATCTCGTGAAATTCTTGCAAAAGGTTTAAAAACTTTACAGCGCAGAGATGAAAAAATGTCGCGATGCACGGCTTCTGCATTGGACTGCTTCCATATTAAACATAACCTAACCTCGGCACGTTTGCTTGTCACTGCTGACGTTCCACTTCTATTCTAACAGACCAGGAGACCTTGGACTCATATTTGTTGCATGAATATAATAACATAATTAAAGTTCCTGTATCCGGAAGCATTTACAAGTTCTTTTACGTCCTACAAGGGAATGCGTTATGTAAAAGAGAGCTCGAAAGTGTGATGCCTCTCCTCGATTGAGAACGTCACTTGAAACTTTTACGTTAACCAACAGAAACTTCTAGGAGCACTATTTTGTTGTTGTTGAGAAGCTGGTAGTCACTCGGCTGGACCCATCTCTGAACCAATTCAGTCCAAAATCACATTTATTTAAATCCAGTGTTCGTATCATCATCCAGCGTGTGTCTAGTTCTCTCAAGGGATATATTCTCATCAGGTTTTGCGTCCAGAATTTTCTACTTCTCATCTTTCCCATGTACTATATATGCCCCTTTCATTTCACCCTCATTGATTCATCATCCTTTTGGCGAAGATTAGAAATTGAAGGTCCTATTTATGTGTTCCATTCATTCTCTTGTTAATTCCTGTTTCTTAGTTTAAGACATTAATTTTTGCATCGTGTTCTCAAACCGTGATAATCGATGTTTTATCTTGGAATTTTAAAAGCAAACATTCTATATTATGAATTAAAAACCAGCAACGTTCCCCGAAAGCATTAAGAGACAAATATGAGCCTATGGGAGATTTTAACATGTGTTTGCACATAAACTGGAAATATTTTAATTATTACACAAAATGTATCGTTCTGTAGCAAGTACATTTTTCGCGTTCTTTGTAACAACTGAATCAAATGAACGCATATAATCCACCTCGTCTCATTTGGGGGCTCTACTCCGCCTCGCCCCACACGTTAGGCACCGACCCACAAAATATATACTAAAATCCATGTATGTGAATTGTTCAGGGTTTCTTGTTCGGGTGCATTAATTAACACCTGATGCTGTTACATTCTACCTTTGCATTATTATCGTTCAGTGCCCTCTTAATTCTCACATCCGGTTGGTATTTTAATAGCCTATAGCCTACAGATGCACGGAAAGAGTACAGAAAATTCTTTATCCTTGGAACATTGACGCCAAATTAATATTTAAAAATGGTGGGCGTAAAATCTGTTTATAAAATGTTAATCGGAACAAACGACAGATGGTTACATCATGATGAACTCATAGATTGCATGTAAACGGAGTACAGTTTGTTATTTTTTAATTAGTTACGAAAACAGAGTTGATTATGATCTAACACATGTGGTGCAGTTCCTCTTTTGCCGTGGGTTTTCAGTGTATCTGTCAGTAACGGAAGTTACACAATGGCCTTCACTCAGATGAATCTGGAAACGGATACAACTAACCTGTTGAATGAATTGCTTTATCTAACATAGCTATTCAAATTTCAAATGGCAGATCCGCTACATGTGGCGCTTCACAGAACAAGAAATAAATATAAAGTTAGGTTAGGTTCCAATAACCTTCAGTAAGTAGGCCTACTAATAAGATAATTTTGCATTGTTTCTGACCTATATAAGTAGGCTAAACTTTATTTACAGAGGTCAGAAATGTAACCTTTGGTATGACATACCTTTGGAATCCGAATTTGTTTCATAAAGGAGACATCAGTGCCACATTCATTGAAGATCAGATAATTTGCAGCAGCTTCAGACTAAGAAAGTGTAGTGTAATCATCATAGATGGAGCTAACCGTGCCAGAAGAATATTCCATCAAATTTTGCATGACGTTGACAAAAGAGATACCTCAGAAATCACTGCACTCAGTCATGTCCCCAGTTTTACGGATAGGGACAACAATTAATTCTTTCCACTGTTGTGGTAGTACTTCCTGGTTCCAAATCGAGACTATCAGCTCGTGTATCTCTGAGTGCAGTGTCCTACAACCTGCATGGATCAGTTCCGCCGGAATTGATTCGATGCCTGGAGATTTGTAACCATTTAATTTCGCAATGGAAATTTCAACTTAATTAAGGCTCAGTTCCAGGATGAAGGGCTCTGCTGTATGCATTTCAGGCTCATTAAAGTGATCAGCTACGCAAACGTTTAGAAACTTACTAAAGTAATCTTTCCATCTGCCTACAGTGGCATGTGATTCTGCGAACAGATCTGCATTCTCATCCTTGATAATATGTGTCCTAGTTGTACCCCTTTTTAAATTCACTTATTGCCTCTATGGAACTCTCTGGTGTTTTTATTTTTGCTCCCCTATCTGACCTTTGAGGTACTCCCTCTTCTTATTCCTCAAAGTTCCGCTGGTTTCGCGCCTTACACTGACATATCTTTCCCTGTTTATTTTAGTGCGGGCTTGCGGCCATTGCAATCTAACCTCCGTCTTACCAAGATAAAGCATTCTTCATCAAACCTGTCCTCAGCTGAAATTTTCATGTTTTCCCATGTATTTTTCCAAGCCTTCCCTGTCCTCTGCATTCTCTTCAAAGTTTTCTAGGACTGCAAACCTATTCAACATTTTTACCAGATACTTTTACTCAGTATCTACATCGCCCAGTCTGTTGATGTTGAATTCCTCAATACTGTATATTTGCCCCGCCTGTTTTCTGACCGAGAATCCTGCCCTCAATTTGGCTATCACTGAATACAGTCAGTATCATTATTTTCCTTTATTATGTTTACTAAATCTGAAATTGCTGTATTTACTTGGTTTTAAGATGCTATCAATTGTAAGATGCTCTTTTAACTTTGGGTGGTAAATATCCTTGCACCAGCCCTGACTTTAGACTGTACATATTAATTTAATCCCGTCTACATGATACCTCTCTAGTGCCAACTAATTTCTTTAATTTAATAGCTGCTTTTAACAAAACTACATAGATGAACACGTTCCTTATTGTGATAGTTCTCTACGTTGTGGTCACTTTATGTCTTTAGACATTTTTTAGGTCTACAAATGCCGTGTAGCCGGAATAGCTTAGTCAGTAAAGTGACTAGGCTATAGGCTGGACGGCTGTGTTGTGATTCTTGGTAGGAGAAGGAATTTTTTGTTTGCCACTCATTTAGACTGACTTTGGACCCACATAACCTTTATTCAGTGTGTACCAGGGTTTCCTCGTGCAGAGGAAAATCTTCCAGAGCATGAAGTTGACTGCTGAGGGCAATCTAATTTTGAGGTTAGGAATATATTCAACTATTTCTATATTGTAAGACTTGAGGTTCTCACAGCGGTGAGTATGAAGATTTCCGTCTTATGGGTTGTTGTGCTGTGTAGTCTGGTCGATGTTAACCAACGTTTCAGAGGTCATACTGCCTCCATCATCAGAGTATGAAGATTTCCGTCTTCTGGGTTGTTGCGCCGTGTAGTCTGGTCGATGTTACCCAACGTTTCAGAGGTCATACTGCCTCCATCATCAGAGTATGAAGATTTCCGTCTTCTGGGTTGTTGCGCCGTGTAGTCTGGTCGATGTTACCCAACGTTTCAGAGGTCATACTGCCTCCGTCATCAGGGCGATGTGCCACATGTCATCAGGAAGTGGCAGTTATTTAAGCTCAAATAATCTATGTTTTTCAGTTGCTTTTGTGGAAGATGAAGAAGATCGTGACTTTGACGGAACCCCTTCATTAACTCATGAAAAATCAGATGACAGTTTGTGTGGAATTGGTTCCGTGTGCACACCCATTGGAAGCTGTGCACTGTTGCAAGATCTCATGGAACAAAGTTGTCTAATATCTGAAAAGTAAGAAACACTCATTTCCATGTGATTCTGTGGCTTATCTCTGGTGTCTGTTTTATGAGATATCTTGGCACCTCTGGCTTGACCTATATTTTCCCCTACTACTCAGATTCCCTGACTGGCCTCTCATAGTCTTCATAGAAGTCTTGTGATTTCCTGCTTTTCCGCACCTCACAGAGCATTAAATAGCTTTTAAGACTTTTTGTCTGTTGGAAGCCTTTGAGAGTAGTCTCCAAAAATTTTCTCATTAAATGTGCACTAATTATGTTGTACTTTATCTCAAAATTAAAGTTTGATGGTGGTAAGGGCACCAGTAGAAAGAGAGAAAGAGCATTATTCTTCTAATTTCAATATGGTTAGTGTTTTTAAATACATATCAGGTTTCTTGTATTCATAGGTTATGTAGCACGGTCATGTCGAGTCTCATTAATGAATATGTTAACTGTGCACAGTTCTGGCAAGAGCTTGTGTTGAGCTTTATTTTTTAGTGAAGTAATGCTGTAAAAAAGGAAGTTGTAAAGCTATAAATTGAGTTCTTCATTGAGTTTATCTCGCTGATTGGCTTATGGAGTGTGATTCTTGTTCAAGGGCAAGTTGTGTTAATACTGCACTAGTTATACATTTTGATATATAAGCTTTGAGCTTGGAGAAGCTAGAGGCAGATGTATTGCTAATCCTGTTAACACGAGCACACCCCCAGTTACAGTTTATTGGGCATCATTTACCAGTTAAGATACACCTTTCCTGAAGCCAAATTGTTCTGGGACCAACATGTTACTAGTATGCTGACTTACCCTATTGTACATAACTTTCTCAAATGCTTTAGAAAATGTAGTTCGTGGTGAAATTGCCCTGTAGTTTGTCACACTAGTTTTATTGTGTTTCTTGTACAGTTGTTTTACTGCTGAGATTTTAAGATGGTCTGGGACAGTGGTCCCCAACCTTTTTGTGCCTACGGGCACATTTGAGAGTTTATGAGATCGTGGCGGGCACCAACCAATTAACAAAGCCAAATTTTCTTTTCTCTGGACAAATAAGATATGGACACCAAATAATACGCAAAACAACACGACGTTTTATGATACAAGAAACCACGCAATCAAAAATACGTAGTTTTATAAGTACAATTATTATTACTCGAGTGGGAAGTTAGCGTGATGTTTGGCGCTGCATTTCATCGGCCAGTTTTTCAAATTTGAGAGTGTAGGATGATGTTGTTCGCAAACAATCGTCAAGATGGGCGTCAGTAAGTCGAGATCTGCGCTTTGATTTTACGATGTTCGTGGTTGAACGGCCTTCATTATTCAGTATAACCTCTTACCGTAACAACATGGGCACCCAAACAAATTCTTGGCGGGCGCCATGGCACCCGTGGGCACCGCATTGGGGACCACTGGTCTGGGAAAATGCCTGTGTCTGGTGAGCGATTAAAAATGTGGGCTAATAGGTGACTAATAAAAACTGAACAAAATTTCATCGTGACCTGATGTTTTTGATTTTGGGAAATGTATTATACTTTTTATCTCAGTTTCAGTGGTTGGAATAACTTTAATACCAGAACATTAATTGGAAATGCATCTCTTAAAAATTAAATAGGATTGTCTGTCACCACTTGATGTAAATTTAAGCTTTAATTATTTGTTAGAAAGAAATTGTTGACATCATTAGCATCTGTTCCTGGATCCTTTACATTTCTATTGCTTGCAGGAAGAGATGGCATGTGTTCAGCTAAATGTATCTTTCCTGTCTCCCTTTACATTATGCTTCTTATTGCTTTTACTTTGCTTTAAGTCTGCTGTAATGATATTTTTTAGCCTATTTTATTACATTATTATGGATTATACAATACTTAATATAAAACGCTCGTGTGTTTCGGCATTACTTTTCCTACTATAGATTTTCGACTCCTCTTATGTTTGCAAGATATTTTTATTTCCTGGATAATCCCATCATTATTTATTCTGTCATACTTGCATTTGTGATTGTTTTAATATATCTGTTTTGTTAATCCAAATGACTGGACAACTAATGTTGGACTATCCAGGATACTTAGCAACACTGCAATCATTAATCTTTCTGTGTTTTTTGTAGATTGGGAGCACTGACTTGTGGTTACCGGGGAAATGAAGTTTTGGTATGCTGCCCCCAGGGAAGTTCTAACAATCCTTTTACGTACCATCATATAAGTTCTCAAGCATCTTCTTCATCACAGAAGAAGATAGCGTGTGGGCAGCCGTTATTCAACAATATAAAACAAGGTGGAAATGGTGGTCTAGGATCACATCCGTGGGTTGCACGCGTTGGATACATCAGTAAGCAAGTCATATGTTACCAATATATGTAATTGTATGCCATGTGTTTGTATTTTTAACAATAGTAAAATTAAAAGTTTTGAGAATCTGAGTGTGTATGTAGAAATTTTGAAGTTATTGATTCTGTATCTCTGCAAAAACTGCAATCAGATTCATATGTTAAACACAATGATTTTACAGTTTATATTTTATGCCAGTCTAATCATTCACTTGACATATCAACATGTCAAAACTCCTATCATACACCAAAATATACTAGTTTCTTTAAAAAAAATTAGTGTGACTCTTTTCGTCACAGATTATAATTTTGTAACTGCTAAAGTCAGGAACACGCTTTTTGATCATCCTGTAACTGCAAGGGCAGATGGGTTGTCGTTTAAAGGCACTTTCAATGGTTTCAAATCTTTAAATATTGTGTCAAAATTGTTTCTTCCAGTGCTCCTGAAAACAAATAGATTTTCTTGAGGTATCTCATTTGTTTTACAAAGAAATTTAAATCAGACCCGTTGGATAGGAGACTGGGTGGACCCCAGAGCCAGCCTGGACACAGAGGCTAGAGGAAAAATCCTCTGCCCCCGTCAGGGATCGAAGCCCAGTTATCCAGCCTGTAGCCAGTCACTATACTGACTGAGCTATCCCAGTTCACCTTTGACCATGATGAATTTCTTAATTTTGAATAGAAATAAAATATAATTATTATTACAATAACATGATACATTATGGTTATTTATTTTTCGCTGAAATACTGTTTTCGTATGTACCATTTTGATCAACCATCCTCCCCTTTCAAGGAATTAAAGAACAAGAACCAAGAAGTATCTAGTATGGCTTACTGTAGGAATAACTCCGTAAACAAAACTGCAAAATGCTTTACTCTGCGATGAAGTCATTGAAGAATAATTATATACTGTACAAATTACTTGAAATTACTTTCAGTCAGGATGATGCAGGAAGAAGTTTCACAACAATCATACAAACCAGAGTTAAGGTGAACGTCGTAGATGTCATGTAGTATATTGACTGCTGCAGTATGGTGGATGAGTTCTCCATTTACCCTTGAAGACAGAAATTGATGTGTTTGAGGTCACGTGATCATGAGGACCAGCCCACAGGGGCCTTAGCAGCACAAATGATCCAGCATTGTAGGAGATAAAAACATTTACTATCACCTAATAACATTTCATCCCCTTTTGTATTCTTGAAGACATTAGCTCCGTATTAAAGTATATCTGATCTTATGTTAAAAATTCTGCGTCTGGCAAAAATACCATGAAAAATGGTTACGAAAATGTATTGGTAAAAGGTATAGTACTTTAGTCTGAAACACATTCTGTTATACTGCAAGATCAGAATTCTGTATTTTTTCTGTTTTCCAGATGCGAAGACAGGTCGCATGACTTACCCTTGCTGTGGGTCCATTATCTCTGACAGAACTGTTCTGACAGCAGCACACTGTGCCCTTGCCAAAGCAGACAATTACCAGCTGTAAGAATTTGAATATACTATCATGTATATCAGGGTGCTGTACATATTTTATATACACGTAAACGACACAGTTATCATGCTGTGAAGTCAGTGCTTATTATTATTATTATTGAGTGTTCTGTCTGACGACAGGTCCATTGCTCTGCCCAAAAAGAGCTCGCCAGTTTTCCCTATTCTCAGCTTCTTGTTTTAATTCCTGAAACTTCATCTTCTTTCGTTGTTTAAGGTCGTCAGTTAGCTGTATCAGTCTTCTTCCCAGTCCTCGCTTTTATTCAATCGTAATTCGCTGTCACAAATTCTGAGGTTTCAGCAGCTTTAGCACAGTTTTGTATAGTACTACAATTTTAGGTGTATTTAAATCTTTTAAAAATATTAAATATTTGAGAAAATATTGGAGCATACGATGATTATTACAGTGTTGTGGGTTATTTGGAATATAAGATGGATTTATTACGCATGCTGCTGCAATTAATTATTTCCATGTTGTTTCTTGGGTCTACAACCCAGTTGTGGGTTTACGCCACCTCCTTTTCAGAGGTATCTTGGTCATGAAGTATGCGTTTATGAGTAGTGAGTGACCAGCCCACTGACTGCACAATTTCTACTCAATCCTGATTTGACTCCCAGAGCCATGAGTCACATTGCCCTGATGACGGAGGCAGCAAGGATCTCTGAAACGTTGGTAAACTTTCACCAGACTACACAGTGCAAGAACCCAGAAGACAGCCAGTCTAAAGCCAGATTTGTTTTCTTTCTTTGAACCCCACAAAATTGGTCAGGCTGTTGTACCAGGCCTTCTACATGTCATTGGTTGCCTTCAAGTATTGATGGTCATAATTATGGATGTCATGCAGCTGGTCCGTAAGGTCCACCATGTAATCAGTCATAAACTGCTCTTTATTGCGGGAAGCCCTGTGCAATAGGTCACGGGGCAAATGTAGCTCTCTCCCGAACACCTTGCTGGCAGGCGTCATGCCTGTGGTTTTGTAGATTGATGCTGAGGAAGATCAGTAGCCTCTTAGTCCAGACTCTGCGGTGCATCAAAATTACTTTCCTCAGGTGCTCTTCTACCATCTTTACATATCATTCAACCATGACTTCCGACTATGTGAAGAAGGGTGAGCTGTGTCTTCCTTATCCCCAGGAGCTGCAACACCTCTTGCAGGAGTCGAGAATCAAAGTTCTGGCCCTGGTTGCTTTGCCTCTCTCTCAGGACTTTGAAGTGGCCAGAAAAAGTTGGTTGCCTAGTCATCCACCATGGTTGATGTCTCTTGATTATGGATGGTGTATACCTCCAGCCACCTGGTGAACCAGTCCATGGCAATCAGGGTATATCAATTTCCTCTCTTGTATTCCTGGAAGGGTCCCGTGATATCTGTGACAGTGCTGTTGAATGGTGTCCTGACTTTATATTGTTGATTCCAATATGTCTTCTCAAATGTCGTTGATGGAATTCTGCAAGTACTTCCTTCACCTTGCTATAGGATGGACGGAAGGATTGTCTTGGTTTTTCAGTTGGCTGACTCTCTGGCATTCCAGCACTCCATCTCTCACTACTGGGAAGTTCCATTAGGCCCAGTAGCTTTTATAGATGAGACTTCCTAATTTTTCACTTGTCTCCACTATAATAAAACTCATCACACTATCTCTTGAATATGTTCTGTTCTGTTTCATTTGAAACGCTTTTATTTACAATAATATCATACAGGTCAATAACAAATCAAAATGAGACTCATGAGGAAGTTAGGAGGAGACTAAATTCCGGAAATGCTCGCTACTTCTCAGTTCAAAATATTTTGTCTTCCCGTCTGATTTCTAAGAACCTGAAGATTAAAATATACAAAACAATAATTCTGCCTGTTGTTTTGTATGGGTGCGAAACATGGTCTCTCACTCAGAGGGAGGACCATAGATTGCAGGTGTTTGAGAATCGGGTGTTGAGGAGGATATTTGGGCCTAAGAGGGAAGACGATGGCACAATGATGAGCTTAAAAATCTGTACTCCTCCCCCAATATTGTCAGGGTGATTAAGTCGAGGAGAATGAGATGGGCTGGGCATGTAGCGCGCATGGATGGGACAAGAGGTGTGCACCGGGTACTGGTTGGTAAGCCTGAGAGGAAGAGACCGCTGGGGAGACGTAGTCATAGACGGGAGGATAATCTCAGGCGGGATCTATGGGAGATAGGAGTTGAAGGAGACTGGATTTTGTTGGCCCAGGACAGGAGCCGGTGGAGGGCTTTGGTTAGTTCGGTGAGGAACCTTTGGGTTTGGTAAGCCATCTAGTTAGTTAGTTAGTTAGTTAATATCATGCAGGTTTGTGTTTCAAGGTATTGGTAGCCATTTAGATGTAGCAGACTGGTTTCATTAGTGTTACTGTACCAGATTTAGACATGCAGGAGGGTGAGTGATAGTTTGTTGTCCCAAGAAAGGTAGAGCTACAGGAGTGTAATGTTGTGAATTATTGATTTGAATTATACCATCTGAGGTCCAACATAACTTGCATCTGCAGTGTGTACTTGTGGAATTGCAAACACAAAGCACAGACCCACGATTGTAAGTGTGTGTCTTGTAGTAATTAAGCACCTTAAAACCTAAGTCTCTGGCTTGTGTTCTTGGTCTTCCATTCTTGAAACTGTAGCAGAATGTTACTCAAATGGAACAACCACCTGAAACACTTTATTTTCATGGAATATGGTTTCAATATCAAGGACTGGCTGATACTGATTTGTTTAACCCACACCAGTCCTTGCTGTAGTGTAAGTAACAAACTCCAACCATCTTGTTTGAGTTGCATGTAATTTGTAAAATATTTGTTATTATATTTTTAATTTGAAATATACAGTAAGACCAGAAATATAATTAAGAGATTGAAATTGGATTGATTACGTGAATCTTCAAAATAGTATGTTGCACTGTACCTATAATTTTAAACAATAATTGCACGTACCATGATACGAAAAAATTTACAGCTCATCTGCAGACTAATGAGGTGGAGGGGGGGGTGTTCTTGTGACAGGGCTTCAGTACGAGTTGGCGAGTATGAAGGAAAGGGAGATCCTGACTGTACTAAAAGTTTTTGTGCCCATCCTGTTCAAGACATTGCTGTCAGTCATGTGATTGTCCACCCAGGATTTGAACGCAAGATCTTCAAACATGATGTGGCTTTGTTGATACTTAACATACCCATGAATTTCTCAGGTAAGCAGAAATTACATGAAAAATTGCCTCCATGGTCAGTTGTGGAATTTCTTTCTTGTTGCTCCTTAATATTTTTTCTTTCAATAACTGGACAAGTATTATGGAAGAAAACATGTTGTTAGCTGAGTTAGTTAGTTAATATCATGCAGGTTTGTGTTTCAAGGTATTGGTAGCCATTTAGATGTAGCAGACTGGTTTCATTAGTGTTACTGTACCAGATTTAGACATGCAGGAGGGTGAGTGATAGTTTGTTGTCCCAAGAAAGGTAGAGCTACAGGAGTGTAATGTTGTGAATTATTGATTTGAATTATACCATCTGAGGTCCAACATAACTTGCATCTGCAGTGTGTACTTGTGGAATTGCAAACACAAAGCACAGACCCACGATTGTAAGTGTGTGTCTTGTAGTAATTAAGCACCTTAAAACCTAAGTCTCTGGCTTGTGTTCTTGGTCTTCCATTCTTGAAACTGTAGCAGAATGTTACTCAAATGGAACAACCACCTGAAACACTTTATTTTCATGGAATATGGTTTCAATATCAAGGACTGGCTGATACTGATTTGTTTAACCCACACCAGTCCTTGCTGTAGTGTAAGTAACAAACTCCAACCATCTTGTTTGAGTTGCATGTAATTTGTAAAATATTTGTTATTATATTTTTAATTTGAAATATACAGTAAGACCAGAAATATAATTAAGAGATTGAAATTGGATTGATTACGTGAATCTTCAAAATAGTATGTTGCACTGTACCTATAATTTTAAACAATAATTGCACGTACCATGATACGAAAAAATTTACAGCTCATCTGCAGACTAATGAGGTGGAGGGGGGGGTGTTCTTGTGACAGGGCTTCAGTACGAGTTGGCGAGTATGAAGGAAAGGGAGATCCTGACTGTACTAAAAGTTTTTGTGCCCATCCTGTTCAAGACATTGCTGTCAGTCATGTGATTGTCCACCCAGGATTTGAACGCAAGATCTTCAAACATGATGTGGCTTTGTTGATACTTAACATACCCATGAATTTCTCAGGTAAGCAGAAATTACATGAAAAATTGCCTCCATGGTCAGTTGTGGAATTTCTTTCTTGTTGCTCCTTAATATTTTTTCTTTCAATAACTGGACAAGTATTATGGAAGAAAACATGTTGTTAGCTGTTTCTTTCAGATATATTTTAATATTATCCTCCCATCTCTGCCTAGGTTTTCTGGGTAGTCTCATCCCTCTGGGCTTTCTTTTCAAAATATATGCATTACTCATCTTCCTCATGTGTGCTACATGCTCTGCCATACTCTCCTAGATGAACCAAATAAGCCGTAATTATTTCATATGTAAAGAAATTTAACCCTGAAACGTTCGAAGCACGTTATATTGGTACGAACTTCAAGTATTCATATTGCCCGGTTCAGTTTTCAACATCTCCCGCTTAAAGCGCTGGTAGTTTGAGAGTAAGATGGATGTTATCAGCTGTTGGCTTGCAACGTATGTGTTGTGTGGTGAATGGTGGTTTCAGAGTCCGCTGTGCAACGTGGATTTGAACGAGAATGTGAAAAACAACCTCCCTTGCTTGAATCAGTGTATCATGCCATCCACGTTTCGTTGCGGTCTGATGCGTTATGCCACTTACATTTTTGGCTACACGAAACCAGCAGTTTTGTGTTATTTTGAGGTTAATATTTTCATACCCAACTTATGCCTTGCTGGTCTAACATTTCTGAAATGACATGAAGTTTTAATTTTCAGAAGAACTTGTTTCAGATTCTGCAATATATATGTTGTTATAAAAAAGTTAATCATAAAGATAAATGTAATCTAAAATTCTCATTGATGAAATTAAATTTTGTTTGTAACATTTTTCAATCCTCTTAGTGTGTAACGAGTTAATCATAAAAAGATCATTAATGTTTTCCAGTAATTCCAAATGTTCCAACAGAATGAAATAACGAAAGATCCTTTTTAGAACTTCAACATAGAGATAGAAGTCTCTAAGTCGGAGAATTGACCCTTGAATCAGAGTGTATATGTGTGCACACACTTTCTTAATTTTTTTAGTTGCATCAGTATGTTTGTCTATAAATTGTGTATGGTAATTTCTTTAACAGTGGCTGCTTTGCCTATCTGCCTCCTAGAAAACTCCAATGTTCCTTTGGTTGGCCGTAGGGCTTCACTTGTGGGATGGGGTAAGACCCCAGGGCAAACAGGTATGGATGTTTTTCTTTGCCAGTTAAGACTAGAAGGACAACATCCGTTTCTTAATTACAGTCCTGCATTAATTTGAGTTGTTATAGAAACACCATCTTGATTATGTTTCACATCAACTCTGTAAGCACACTATAGTCTAAATTTTTAATCTGTTTATGTTCTGAGTGATAAAACAGACTGAAGTGAGTTTTCTGTTTCCAGCATAAAATTCATAAATATACAGGGAAATACTATATCTTTACATGTATCAGGAGAAAGAAGAATAGTTGACCCTGCCGGGATTCATTCAGGTTATCTTCAGATACTTGGACATCATCCATTGCTGGAAACTTCTTTATACCAAAGACAAATTGGTACTTTGGGTTATTGGGACACATTACTTTAAAAATAGGTTAGGTTAGGTTAGGTTAATGTCTGGATAAATGACATACTCGAAAGTTATTATATTTTATTTCAATAAATGACAAATTATTATATTTTATTTGGATATGCATGAGATGTTAATTGTTGTTACAACCTGTCTCCAGAGGCCAGAATTCACTTACAGATTTTAGAATCGTTTTAAAAATATCGCCGTAATCATTTTGGCCTCCGGGGTCAGGTTGTAACAACAATTAACATCTCATGCATATCCAAATAAAATGTAATAATTTGTCATTTATTGAAATAAAATATTCAAGTATATGTCATTGATCCACACGCATTAACCTAACCTAACCTATTTTTAAAGCGATGTGTCCTGATAACCCACAAGTACCGACAAATTATATAAGAATTTACTACACGGAAATATGTGTCCCAGTTCACAAATGACTGCAAGATGATCCATGTTACGGATAGTCACTAACCGACATCTTGACATTTAACACGTAGAAACAGAGTTTGGCATTTTGTTAAGTGTTATTTAGGTGCAGCTGTGAAGAGAACTTTGAAGCTAATTTCCCTCAAAACCTTCTGAAATGCAGTTAGTGACTTCTTACATGACGCCAATGAAGCTTCATCCTTTAGAACAGTGGTATTCAAAATGGGGTACGTGTACCCCCAGGGGTATGCGAAGACATCTTAGGGGGTACGTGAAATTTAAAAAAAAATATTATTTTATGATAAACACTTAATAATCAGTAATGTAATTTATTTAATTTATTTTAGATGTAGATTATATATTATGTATAACTTGAATTATACACCAATAACTTTGGGGGTACAAAGTTGAAGAGAAATTATATCTGGGGGTACGCGAAGACATCTTAAGGGGTACGTGAAATTTAAAAAAAAATATTATTTTATGATAAACACTTAATAATCAGTAATGTAATTTATTTAATTTATTTTAGATGTAGATTATATACTACGTATAACTTGAATTATACACCAACAACTTTGGGGGGTACAAAGTTGAAGAGAAATTATATCTGGGGGGTACGCGAACAAAAAGGGTTGAATACCACTGGTTTAGAAAATGTGCTGTTTGAATGGAATTACAGAGAAACGAAAATTTGCCATCACAAGGTGTCCACTGTAACAGTGCAAAGCGTCTGCTTTTGACAGATTCAAAATTATATTTATACTTCCTGAACATGAATACTTATTGATGTATATTGCAAAACAATGTTATGCTAGGTTCAAGATGGACACAATTGAATAATGTAAACTGATCAATAATTATCACTGTGTTTGCAAATAAACCCCATTACAGATGTTTTTTGTTAGTCTGTCATCAGTCTTTTGACTGGTAGATAACACATCAATAAAGAATGCAGAGGTGAAATGTTTTAACGATTTAGGATCATACCAGCTAGATCATCCCAGAGAGTTGTAGAACTAAACCAATCACTTTGAACCCAGTCAGATGATGAGTGGCTATATGTTGCTTCTCGACCAAACGTACTTACTGGCCTTCGTTCAAAGGTCAAGGAGCAAAAGTCCTCATTAAAACGTAGATGACTACTTTGACCAATATTGTTGTGTCTAGAATACAATTGCTGTGAACCGGATGGAAAGAACCTCAACCTTAACGATATTGATTTGGATTTAATCTTTGAAAAACATACTAAATGATCTCGAAGACTTATGGACAGCCACTAGGTAGATGAAGCCGAGAGGCTCGTATCTGAACAAGAATGGAAGGTAAAATATTCAAACATAGATTATTGTCTGTCCTGAGTCAGATTGACGCTGCTGTTCAGTGGACTCTATACATTTTTAAAGATGTGCTAATAACAGAAAGGATTCTATATAAAATTTAATACAGTATGTACCAACTTTTTTAAAAATTGATTCCAACAGATGGTAATAACATTATAATGTCATTAACTTCATTATTAATTCCTTTCTTTATGAGCGTTTTAACCTTTACAAAGTAAAGTAAAGTAAAGTTTGTCCCGCTATACGCCATGTAGGCGTTTGGGGTGAGTGGAGGTATAGCTCCTCTCTTCCTTGACCTCGGCACTAGATGGGGGTGAGTGGTCAGCATCACGCCCCGGCCGGCTTTACCCCCGGGAAAGGACCCCGGTACCCATTGTAGAGGAGGCTGGGTGGGCCCCAGAGCCGGTCTGGACGCAGAGTCTAGAGGAAAAATCCTCTGCCCCCGTCGGAGATCGAACCCCGGTCGTCCAGCCTGTAGCTAGTCACTATACTGACTGAGCTATCCCGGCTCACTTTAACCTTTACAACAGATTTTCTAAATTAATTTTTAATTTACATTTAAACTGGATAGATCCCGGTTAATCTGCGTCCCGACAATCGGGAGTCTACTGTATGTGTAGCCAGTAGGTAAACAAGGAAGGGGAGACATCGCATACATACGTTTAAAATTAAAATTTTGATGGTGAGCTAACTCCTCAGACCAGAATCCTAGTAAGAAATCTCTTGGTTTTTACAAAACATGGAAGTTCATTACTGTGTTTGCAGTGGCCCACCACTGACCCCAGCCCTGACCTGTGTATTATGCTAATTATTTTTCTTAAATTAATATACTGTTTAAAACTTCTAAATGGATTTTCAAGACTCGCAACTGTAATTTTTGTAGCGACGCCAAGCCGCGAGCAGTTATTGGAATTACCAATTGTACCACTTGATCAGTGCAACAAGATTTACAGTCAAGTGATACCCGTTACTCAGAACCAGATGTGCGTGGGCGGTGAAGCTCGGAAAGACGCGTGCTCTGGTTTCGGAGGAGCACCGCTCATTCTGCTTGATCACTACTCTCGGAGCAGATATTATCAGGTATGAGGAATACTGTGTGTACTTGAAGAAAGCACATTACGAAGCTCTGCCTTTGAATTAATTTGTGACACTTGACTGTGTGCTTTAATGTCAGGTCTTAACGTTTGTAATTTTGAACTTCCATAAATAGTTCTAGAGTCTTAATTTTTTTGTCGTGTGCGTGCGTGCGTGCATGATTGCTTGCAAAAAGAAAGGGGGCATGTGGAAGAGGAGAGAAAGAGAGAGAGTGAGTGTGTGTAGTGAAGACATACTCATGAATCTATATTGGATTAAAGCAAGAATGTAGGTGACTTACAGTTTCTTGTACTGCGAGGGACAGAGCTCAGTGGTTGCAGTGTTGCCATATATTCTGGTTGAGCTTGACTGTATGCACAAAAACGTAACATCAAATCCCTGAAAAAAGTCTCACCCGGCTGATTGGGAAAAAGTTCTGTCATTTTAAAATTTACTGTACTTAAACACAATGCTCGATGCCACAAGAATGTAATAATCTCAGTTTTATCTTATTGATGTTCCTAAAGTACACTTAATAAATTTAAATAATAGAAATGGAGTCTCTGAAAACACTTTTATTACTTCAGTGAAGTCCCTGATACTTATAACATGTGTAATCTTGCAACTGTGCTTAATGACTTTGAGCTCCCTGCAGCGCAAGTGTGAAATCGCGTGTTGCGGTCTGATAGCAGAAAGGCTCACTACTCCTTTGCCAGGGATTCACCTCTTAATACAGAGATTTTTAATTCCGTTACAAGTAGAGGATTCGTAACCTCAGTTGCGGTCTGATATAAAAATTCATGACTGCACAGTAAGGTGTCATGGAAACTCTTACGTTAGATTTAATGCAGTAGCTAATAAACAAATGGAAGTGACTGGTGGCAAAACAGGTAGAATCATTTAAAAGTGTACACACATGCAGAAAACTAGAGATGTTTCGTCCGATATTCTGTTCTGTTTTAGGTGGGCATTGCATCATTTGGTTCAAACAAATGTGGAACTCAAGGAGTACCTAGTGTGTACTCCAGCGTGCATCGCTATGCTGAGTGGATACGCAACAACATGGTATAGGCGTCGTATACAGTAGGGGTTTAATGGTTTCACTGAATCATCTATTTAAGACTTTCAGTAATTAACTAACTCCCTCCCTGGTAGCAATACCTGCAGGTCCAACCCCGACAACTACAAAGCCCGCCACCGGCCACGGTCCTAAGCTGACTCCATCCGTATACCATCCTCGCAGCCTACCTCCTTAAGATCATCTTGATATTATCCTCCCATCTCCTTCTTTGTCTGCCCAGTAGTAGTTTTCCAGAGGATTCCCCATCAAAATTCTGCATGCAACCCCATGTACAACCTGTCGGAGCCTCCTGGATATTTACTATCCTCACTGTGCTAGGTGACCCGTACAATTCACGCAGCTCCTCGTTATGTAATATTCTGAATTCCCCGCTTATTTCATCCTTCGAATGTCCAAATATTAAATAAAAATATTTGTATTTCTGTGTGTGGCTATAAATTGTCACGGAGTGCAACATGAAGAAGATGTGATAAAGCTTCAGTTCTTGTACAGAAACCTAAGATTGAGAACATTTTTACTAAAATTAAGTACTTACAGCATTTTTCCCCCATTAAAACATCCTCATCGTGATTATGTAAGATTGAAGTCAGATATGCGCAAAATATGAAGCTTTATCATGGTGAACATAAAACACGCTTATTCACATGTAAAATTAAATTTACTGTTTAATTCATGTAAATCCTGAGTAATATTTTCCTGCTTGTCTCGTTTAGTAAGGAAAACGCAGCTTATTGGTAGTTTCCAACTTCTGCTTCATTTTACGTATAATTTCTTTTCACTAATTAACAATTAATTTAGTTCCATCTTTAATAGGTATCGCAAGTGTAACTTCTGGAGATAATTGGTTGTCGTAGATGCATATTAAAATTTCTGTGTCGAGATTGCTAGATATGGTCATACTTCCGTAAGTTGTAAATCTTAGCCTGCCCCTCATTCTTACTAAACCTGCGTCACCGCATCATCGTCATCGTTGCTTCCAATAAGCATGATTTGAGGCAGTATCCAAGAGTTCCACATATTGGTTACTCTCGTACCTTATTGAAAGGATCTACAATATTCTGATAGGTTTATTAAATCTAGAATCCATTCATGCTGTCTGCCCCAAGTAATTGCCTACAAATATATATTTTAATACAAAAGAAATAACAGTTATTAAATATAAAAAAAAAGTAAAGCTGTCCTGCTATACGCCACGTAGGCGCTTGGGGGAGAGAATACATAGCTCCTGCTCATTCTTAACTTCGGCACTAGATGGGGGTGAGTGGTCAACATCACACCCCAGTTGTGTTTTACTTCTGGGAAAGGACCCCGGTACCCATTGTAGTGGAGGCTGGGTGGGCCCCAGAGCCGGTCTGGACGCAGAGTCTAGAGGAAAAATCCTCTGTCCCCCCGTTGGTGATCAAACCCTGGTCGTCCAGTCTAGAGTTAGTCACTATACTGACTGAGCTACGCCGGCTCCATAACAATTCCATCAGTGTCAGTTCTGCAAAGCACAAATTCTTACATGGACATAATTATTTGAAATGCTGAAACTGCGTTCCAAAAGGCAAGGATCACTGAATTTACTGGTAACATGTAATAATTGCGTTGAATTCTGAAGGTCTCTGACGATAGTGTGTTATAATCTGTAAAGTGAGATCTGAGGGGCTAACACCTAGGGTTTGTGCCCCTCTTTCTTTTTAACTGAAGAGGGGAGGAGATGAAGATACAGCTTCATAAATTAAATTCTACTGAAAATACCAATGAGTGACTACTGCCATATTTACTTGTGTTTAATACACACCCTTATTATTTAATTGGAAAATTAAAAAGTCAAGTATTCTTATATAACATGCTATGAAATAAATAAAATATAGCTATGAAAAAAAGAAAAGATTATGTAGTATGAGATGTCAAAAGATTAGGCAGGCAGAGTTAGCATTCAGGTGGTATTTTGTAATGGAACCGAGTTCAATAATTTATAGAATCGCGTCTTAATATCGACATCAACAGTTGCAGCTGGAGGACGATAATTTATTCCGCTTTTGTTTTGTTGTTCGGGAGATACATAAATGCTTCAGTAGAGAAATATCCGTGACGTAGGATGCCAACGTACTTTGTTTATGTGCCACAAAGAATCTTTGTATCAACATCACATGCTTTCCCAGTTCGAGGGTTGCTGTAAATATACATGTTTACATGCCCTCTGGTCTTTCAGAGTCTAGTTTTAAAATGAAGTTTACTTGCTTCTATGGCAATAACTGTTTTTTAATGTCCTCCACATACAGGGTTATTCATAATTCCCTGAGACATTACAAAAAATCGCTAGACTTGAATGGTGCAATGGATGGTAACATAGGACGTGCCGATAGAATGAGAAACTATCCAAGTTTATTTTGCATGCCTCATTAATGCAGTGAACACATTCAGGTACTGGAACAACAATATTGGGGAAAATTATGGGCAATTACCCCATGTGATCGGCAATATTATTATTTCTCTTTGGGCTACAGACAGCAACAGTAGTGAATCCTCAATCGACAGTAGCAATAGCCACCATGACTCGGAATTAGATCATTCCGACACATCATAAATGGCACGACCACCTGCAGAAAATAAACTGTTGTTAATTTTTTCAGAATGGATAATATCGTCAAATTGTTTTACTAGGGTGTTTATATCGTTATTTTTGTCGCAAGGTATTTGACTCCACCACGTCGCTTACCGGCCTAGATAACGATCAGTGCCAGAGTTCGCCAACAACAAGTTTTACCAACATACCAATTATTAATACTAATATCGGTTCTGTCATAGGTGTTGGGGGAAATCATTCACTCGCCACATGACAGCGCAGCAGTAGTGTAGTTACTTGAAAGAAGTGCACGCAAATCACGGAAGACGTCACTAGTAGTAGTGGATGGGCGGTACGATCTTCAAAAATTTGAACCAGTGACAACATTGCTTGTGGTATTTACGTTGGTATCTGTGTTGAAACCAATGATCTGCTGATCCTATAAAGAGCTGAGTAATAGGCGCGAACGACGCAAAAGAATCAGCTGTTTACGAGACGAGAGCGTGTACGACGATTGTATTGAAGGTACGATATAACTAAGTTTAAGTTTTTAAAATATTTATATCAATTTGTGTTTGGAAGCAAAGTGAGCCAGTGAAACATTTAAAATACCGTATATTTAAGGGTTTTAATGTAATAACAAGAATTATTCTGTTTTTACGTTTTTTGTAGGTTAAAGCATAACGAGTGAATATGTCCAGGCATGTAATGTTGCAAACAAAGCTACCATGACAGTTTTTTATTATTACAGGTTTGGAAAGGTGTTTTGGTATGAATTTACAGCGGACTGTTTATGCATGTGAGGGTGTTACGAATTTGTGCATTTCATAATATTCTAACGAGATATGTCTTCGAGTGTGGTGCTGGAGAAATGGACAGTCTTTGAAAACTGTTCAAGGAAATGTTCGGATCTAAGAAGGATGAAATTACCAGTGCAGTATATTTACACAATGAGGAAATGAAAGTCACCTTGTGTTGGAATAGTGAAATATAGGCTTGAACAGCTGGGATGGGAATACATATAGAATTGTGGTGGGGGAAGTGACATGAGATTGGAGATAAAATTGACATAGTTATCAGGAAGATTTGAAGATTAATTTTATTCGAGCTAGTACAGTAGATACTTGACGTGAGCAAACCTTGTTCAAATCTGTGTGGCGTGAATTAAGATGAGTTGTGAATTGGAATAGATGAAGTGGGAAGCGGTTGCAACTAAATTTAAGGTTATGTTCCATCACGTGGAGGAATTGAGGAGAACGAGGGAACATTTTGAAACCGGAACACCTTGGATCGAGGAGTTGAGGTACCACAATGAGACGGAGCTATACGCCAATCCGCCCAAGCGTCTACATGGCTTTCAGCAGCGGAACAGCTTTACTAATATACTTTTTTTAGAATCGAATCCGGGACCGCACTAACACGAAGCAGACAATGCGTTCTTTACGTGGGTATGTTTAGGGTTATATAGTCGCTGTTGGTCTATGAGGAAGTTTTCATAGGCGATGTCTGTTTACAATGACAATCTCAAAGTTGATAGTGCGCGACTTCTGACCGGTGGCAAGAAAACACAACACATTTTTCACACGCTAAAGGAGACGTTTACATAAGCAGATGGCTGTCTTCTGGATTATTGCGCTGTGTAGTCTGGTTGAAGTTTACAGACGTTTCAGAGGTCATACTGCCTCCGTAATCAAGGAACGTGGTTCAGATCATAACAGGATTACCAACTATCCTGAGTTTTCATGCATTTGTATAGTTTCTTTGTCTAAATGCCGGGACATTATCGTGATTGGTAACGGAGACAATATGGCGTCGCGTTTAATCAGGAGGTGACAAGAATGCAGTGGTGGGTGGAAGATTGCGTTATTATCAGCTGAGATTTATCTTTCGAAAAGAAGTTTCGTAAGTTTGCAGCTTTCATTGAACCTCCAGCAAGTTCATTACAAAGAAGCACACACGCAAGATTTGAGGTTTTCACGGCGGTGAGTACGAAGATGACTGTCTTCTGGGTTGTAGCGCCGTGTAGTCTGGTAGAAGGTTACCAACGTTTCAGAGGTCCCTGCTGCCTCCATCATCAGGGCGACGAGAGACTTTATCGCCTTGATGATGCAAAATCATTCGGGAACCACTGAGGGAGTTTTCATGAAATTTGACATTATTCAGTTTTATTAAAATTCGTCAACACGTTCTATGATTGATTAAAATGGTGTGCAATAACGCACACCTTCTATGAAGATCTACGCGCGAAATTGACGTTGAAAGAGTGGGGAATCTCTTGGATTCCCTGCTCAGACACCCTCACACAAACATGTCGCTGAATCCCCCTGATGTCAACACCCCCCCCCCCCCCACCCCCACCCCCGGAAAAGGGGATTTTTCACAAGGCAACTTTAACGTCAATGTTAATTTATGTCTCGTACAGATGACCTTGAACTTGAGAAAGTTACCTTGGAGTTGTGACTAAAGACTTTTGACTAAATAATCTTTTCATGTGACCTTGTTATAGGCCCAATCAGTGACAGTGTAGATTCCAGCATGCTTACTGCTGAAAATTTGTCTTTTCCATTTTTATTTCCAGGCTGCTTTGTTGTTTTGCTGAAGCTATATGCAGTGCTTAGAGACAGTGGAACACCATTCTCAGGTGTAAACGCCTTTTGTCAATATCTGACGAATGATTCGTAAATTATAAACAAAATTCTCTGCCATGAGAATGAGGGGACATTTGTTTTCTATGGATGTGGGTTCCAAGGTAGGAGCAAATAATGCCTCAGAGCCCCGATGTCTCCTTAGTTTGTTGCTTAGGCAGCAACACTGTAGGACGTGAGCAGGTTGTCCTTGCAGTATGTCGAGCACCTGTGCGGACTTCTTGCAGGTGTCCATTCGTGGCCTCGAACCGGCAGAAGTATATTTGCCCATAACATAGATCTATCGAACGTCTGTTGGCCCCTGCATTTCTCACACTTTGCGTGTCATTCGGCCTTCTACCACCGCAATCCGCGTCTCAAACTCCCGATGTTCAACTTGCAGGCCGTTTTTAGTTGCTTCTGTGTCTCGTCGCGTCTTTTCTAAGTTCTTCTAGCTCTCCTCACGGTCACAGTCAACACTAGATTGCCATGAGCGTACCTTCCACTTGACAGTCAGTTCTTCCCCCACTTCCTTTGGCCCAGTATTTATAGAACCTAACCTAACCTAACCTAACCTAACCTAACCTAACCTAACCTGTCCTAACCTAACCTAACCTGTCCTAACCTCTCCTAGCCTGTCCTAACCTAACCTAACCTGTCCTAACCTCTCCTAACCTGTCCTAACCTAACCTAATATTTTATTTTCCGTCTATACACAAACTTAAAATAATGTTGTTTAAAATTACTTAAAATTATAACATTCTCAGTAGATACTGCATCTTGTTACATTTTTTGTATCGACGACATGTTTCAATGTGTATTACATCATCATCAGGTCTATCAATTTTAATATATTTTAAAAACTGTTGTACATTTTGCGTTGCGTATATTGGTTATTTTGATTTGTTTAATTTTTATTTGTTTAATTTCTATCTCTTCTTTTAATTTTGGAGGTTGTACTTGGATGTTTTATATCTGTAAAATTAATTTTCAAATCGTGATTTTGGATATTGATAAACAAATCAAAATAACCAATATACGCAACGCAAAATGTACAACAGTTTTTAAAATATATTAAAATTGATAGACCTGATGATGATGTAATACACATTGAAACATGTCGTCGATAACAAAAAATGTAACAAGATGCAGTATCTACTGAGAATGTTATAATTTTAAGTAATTTTAAACAACATTATTTTAAGTTTGTGTATAGACGGAAAATAAAATATTGGATCAATAAAACACAAACATGACGCAATTAAGATATAAACTAACCTAACCTGTCCTAACCTAACCTAACCTAACCTAACCTAACCTTGCTTGGAATTACAAGATTATAGTCTGAGCTTTGAAATTGCGCAATTTAGTTTGGGACTACTGGCAAAAATTGTTATAAGATGTGACACAGACATGTAGTATGGACATTTTGCTGGTTGGCTGCTTCAAACTGTATACACTGTTGGGGAGGGGCGGGGGGGGATGAGGGAACTTAAAGTCTGAATCCCACGAGATCATATGCTAATTGCTGAAATCTGCTTTAATGTTTTTACAGGTATTTGTTCTTTGTTGACGGGATGTATAATTTAGTACTGGTTGTCCTGGTCACTGCACTGTGCGTGGACTCGCTGACAGTGTATGGCTCCCACAACACCTTTTTGTTTAACACGTTCGATCAGGAGGAAGAGGACAATGTCATTGATAGCAAGAAGGAACCTCCTCCGCACTCAGAAGTAGCTAAGATGGCACGCTACATAGTTCATAACTCAGGTAGAAGATAACGAATTGTGAGATTTGTCCTTAGCCATATCAGGCCAATCAAAGGTCGGAGTAATTTAATGTATGTGTTCACAAATTCCCTTTTTCTTTGAGGTTTTCTGAGAAATTTCTGAACTCATTTCTTTCATATATGTGGAAGAAGTCATAAGAAAGTAAACTCTTTGAACAATAAATTTGTTTTCTGGCAGTGATTGAATTTGTCTTTTTCTGAAAGTTTTCAATATTTGTTGGGAGTTTCATGTATGAAACCACAAATCAAATTTATTCTGGCTGCAGTGTGTGGACACTGACAATTATTTGATTTCAGTTCAGCCGTCGTATGCTGTTCTTTTTGGTAGTTTAGTGAAAGTAATTTTAGATTTTGCACTTCGATATGTTTAAAATGAGAATGATGATTACGGTTGACTGCATTTAATGCACCAGACCCGTTACAACAGTAAAATAACTTGGTACGTGTAAGGAAGCATCTAAGTTCTTTTTAATTGTGCTAATATGCGCACCATGATTTACACGAAAAATGTCTCGGCAATACTGAAATTCCTCCCATGTGCACTGTATTATCGCTGCATCAACTTGAGTGAATGCATGTGTGATCTGGTCTCTTAGCACCGATAAGGCTATGACATTTATGGTCTGCGAACGCAGTCTTTGACGAAATCTCATAAAACCAAGTCCAGAGGTGACCAGTCTGGGGGGTCTTTTCAGCCGAGGTTATCAGTCTTCTGCACCCTATTCAACTTTCAGGCAGCTGATTATTGAAAAACACTCTCATAACCTTGTGAAAATGGGGCAGTGCTCTAGGAAGACTAAATGTTCAGCAAAGTCCTCCTTCAACTGGGGCCATAACAGCTGCTTTACCATATCTACGAATGTAGTACTGGTGACAACAGCAGAAAGAAGAAAGGACCATCTTTGCTTTTGATAATTTATTAAACATGTCCACTTTTGAAGATTTCCGTCTTCTGGGTTGTTGTGCTGTGTAGTCTGGTAGATGTTTACCAACGTTTCAGAGGTCATACTGCCTCCTTCATCAGGGCGATTCTTAGAATGAAGATTTCTGTCTTCTGGGTTGTTGCGCTGTGTAGTCTGGTCGATGTTAACCAACGTTTCAGAGGTCACACTGCCTCCATCATCAGGGCGATGATGTAGGCAGTATGACCTCTGAAACGTTGGTAAACATCTACCAGACTACACAGCGCAACAACCCAGAAGACGGAAATCTTCATACTCACGCTGTGAGAACCTCAAGTCTTACATGTCCAATTTTGTTTGATTCATTCTCAAGTTCAACACTCGCGTGCGGAGTCTTGCTGTTTATAATTCCGCTCAGGTGGAACGTGTAGTCATTGCAGGAGATCGAGTAGGAATCAAGTGTCTCGTCTTCTTCCAGATGAGTGATAGCGTTTTTGCAGAAGGCTACCCTTCTCGCCTTATCTTGTAATTTTTGAAGTAAAGTGTCTTGTGATGGACTCTCGAACTGGCGTTCCTCGTATTCTGTGTTGTGCTGGTTCTTTATATTTATATCTCAGGACTTTGAATGAATGCCACTCTTATTTGTTCTGCATGTTGTACACTCATTGATGGATCGCCAGAGCTCTTACTCTTGCGGATACAACCATGGTTCAGAACGCTGTTATACCAGCATGTGTTAGACTCCGTTGAAGTCGAATCTATCCCGTATGATGATTGGAGCTTGCATTGAACTGTAGTCGCTCATGTAGTGGCTCTTGAAACCAAAGACAACATTGTGCCGTTTGTTGTCGGGACACCATTTTAGATTAACAACGGTGGTATTGCTGCAGTGACCAATAAATGAACTACTTCATGTGACTGAATCTTGAAGTGTTTCTCTGCATGTACCAAATTGTGTTGTTGTAACTGCTCTGGTGCATTAAATAAATTAAAGAGGGCAATCAGAACTGGGTGCTGATAGTGTGGTCTAATTGAAATTGAGAAATCCCACTGTCGATAAGGCCTGTGAAATTATTACCAATTTGGAATTTGATGATGTTTATTAAAATTGTAAGATTATATATATATATATGAAAGAAATTGCTCTCTTGGGTATCTGAGGTCTCTCCAGATAAAGGGTTAGCGTTGCTGAATGTTGCAGAATGGGCTCTGGTGGCATATAAATCTCAGCAGCTTGTGACAAACGAGTTCCCGATGGGAACTGTACTCTCTGTGAGTGATGGACCATTGGGCAGTGGAAATGGAACACCATATGTATACGTGTCCGAATTGGAGGATGCAATTCAGGACACAGATGTGAGTCTGTTCTATATAGTACAACCGTGTTTGAAGTGTACTGGATATTGATAATTATTGAGAATATAATATAAAAAAAGCTGTGTAGACAGACTGTCAACTTGATGATACTGGTATATAGGTTTATTTCTACGTGTAATTATTTTCAAACTTAAATACCATGATTTTTTATGAATTTTATATATTAAAAGTTTTACTGTGAAGCAATATTCTTTTAGTTACGACATTTGCAGGAACGCATTGAGAAAAGAAGTTACATAAATTTAACAGAATTTTAAGTCAATGAGATACTGATTTTCTCACATTTAAAAGTCATTAGTATTCTTAATTTCATTTACATTCAAGGAAGTATCGACTTGATACGTATCCTGACATTTTGTTATATGACAAAAGTATGTAGAAAGTTCCCCTCTTCTCGTATGGGACACATTTTCTTCGACAATGTCTTCTTGGGCTATCAGCCATGTCATTTGGTTAAAAACTACAAACATTTCAGGGACCATCTCAGTCCCAATCATCAGGGCTCTGATGTAACTGGGTGTCCAGACCATCCTAGTGCCTGTGTTTGAATCCGAGTGCAGGCCAGCGGGGTTAATGGGCAGACTTAAGTTCTTGGCTTCTGGATTGTTTTATCTCTATATTGCTCGAGTGCGTCTATTACTGGGTACTGGGACCCACTGAGATTGAAGCCACCGTCTGTGTTAAAGTTTTTTGGGCTGTGTGTTTGGTGAATCTTTGTTGGATAAACTTAATAATAATATTGGGTTATTGGGGATACATGAACATAGCCATGGGAAGTTATAGTAAATAAATATAAGAAAATGCATGGAACAGGTTTATATTTTTGACGAGCTAAGCGTCTGTGTTTCAGAAAGACTCGAGGTGCTCCCTGACTATGACCCTGGCTGAGGGGAGTTATTGCAAGGAGAAGAAGCTCGACCCTCAATACCCCACTTGTCCACAAGTTACGCTCGTTGGGAGAATAGAGAGGGTGAGTTTTTTCCTTCTATTTATTACTTTAAACGCAGAAAATATTCGCTGTTCAGTAGAATGGTGAGAGGATGTAGTGGATATTCAGGGAGATCTTAAGCCCCATTTGTGATAAATGAACACACAAATCCTCTAAAAATATAGGCGTACCGTTGCTCTTTTCTTTTGAAAACTGACCATTTACTTGTTTAATGTAAATTTATATCATATAATTCTGCTGATACCTGTATCTTGCTAATTGCTTGTGGAAGCAACAATATCCACATTAATTAACACAACATAACGAAGGAAAGGGGAGAGAATATCCATGTCATGTGGTTGATAACGTGTAGAGTCTGATGCTTTTGGAACCAGGTGTACGACCTTATTACTAGGAGGAAATACAATTCTGTTGCCTTTACACTTAGGCAGGGGCCATAATAACTGGAGATAATAACTTTTTAGATGTGGCATTTAAATTCCTATCACCTGTGTGCATGTACAGATTTAATTGGAATTTAAAACGTCTCGAAGCACAGCGTGTTACAAAATATACCAAATTTATTACATTTTTTAAAATTAAAAACTCAAAACAAAAATTCTGTTTTTGAGAGTGAACTCATTTACCTGCACGTAAAGTTTTGTAATAATCAGCCTTTATATGCATGCACGCTTTAAGTTCATTTTTAGTTATTTTTTATTATTTTCCATGTTTTTACTGATCATGATTCGCATATATCCTCACGCTACATGTCTTGGGAGTCAACTCTACTTGACTTAGAACTGCTGCAGGAATGTATTTTTAGTCTGCCAAGGATCGTAGTGAAATGAATACAATCTTTCTAAGAGTCTTTTGCCGGTGGTCTGATTACAGAAGAGTTTATTAACAACGAGTAGTCTCAAATTATTATTATATTATTAAGTGTTCTGTCTGACGACAGGTCCATATGAACAGGATCCTTCCATCCTTTTCTCGGACTGGGACCTGTTCATATACGTTCTTGGCAGATGATCCAGAAGTGGTTTGCCATTGCCTTCTTCTGTGTGTGAATGGAGTAATTGTTGGGATGCCACGGAGGAAAACTCCGTGTTGCCTAGACCACGGCCTTGCCCAACACAAAGTTATAAATTCGGGCACCGCCGGGAATCGAACCCGAGACCCCAGGATTACAAGGCCAGCGTTCTAACCGCTAGACCACCTCATCTTATTATTATTATTTAGGGTGGCTTAAGGCATACAGGTTCATATTTGGAATAAACCACTCTAGCATCACATGAATGGAAAACAACGTAGGAAAATCATCTCAGTTGTGACTCGGTCCGCTCCAGCTGGAGTCAGACGACAGAACAGTGTATTTCATTTGAATCAAAGACTTTGACTCTGTCGTATGAAGTAAATTTCATTCCAGTCTTACCAATGTGACAGACTTCATTTGAGGCTTCGTATTCACTTGGAAATGTACAGTGTGTGCAGTGTTTGTTCGCAAGAAAAGATTATTCAAACGGCTAAGCAGTCAGTGTCAAAATAACTTCATGCTACGTGTGTTGATGCAAGAACAGTTTGGATGATACCACCCCAAGTTACATTCATAGCGGTATCTAAGTGCAGAGAACCCACAGACAGTCCATCAGTTTCCTCGTCACACACCTGGCAAAAGACGGAATGTGGGACCCCACGTAAATAAGGAGTCTGCTACATACTGCGTTTTCATTGTTTCTGGAATGACACTTGCACGGAACATCGGACTGTGAATGAAGTCTAGTAATTCCAAAGGAGGGGGGTAAACATTACCCAACCCCACATGAAATCTGTGACTAGGATGATGACAAAATGATACCACCTGCACTTGAATTCAAGGGGTGTCTAAGTTGGTACAACAGTCAGACTATCCCAACAGAGGTGTTGATCAGTTCACTGCTGAAACCATGCAGAAGACAGAATGTGGCACCCCGCATCTACAAAGACTCTAATCCATTCAAAGAATGGCAGTGCTGCTGACTACGACAGACTATGGACCGTCGTCATGTGATGCCAAAAACAGAACATAGATATTTCCAAGTTGCTGTCATGTGAAACTTGATTGAAATTGCTCGTTTTCATTGTCCCATTGCGTTCCAGCTGCCGTAGACTTGACAAGAGCCAATTTCAGTAAACCGTGGCCAATTCATTCCTTCAAAGTGAATTATCATGCCGGTTTCACACGGAAGAGGGTGCAAGTAAAATGCGACGAGAGTTATGGGGTTGTGTATCGGTGTTTCAAGAAGTACCACAAAAATACCAAATGTGACTTACTGAGGAGTGCTATTAGTTTTAGAAGCCCCAAAAAGTATTTTGTCAAACATTCATGTGAACCAGCTAAATAACTAGTTAATTAGTAGCGTGTGTGGTTGCTGGATAAAGATCTTAGCCTATGTATTGCCTTTCCCTTCTGATTATCACAGGTTAAAAATGGTACAACAGAAGAGGCGTTTGCACAAGAAGCGCTGTTTAGCCGTCATCCTTCAATGAAAACATGGCCAAAAGGTACGTAAGGATTTCTTTTCATATTCTTCAGTGGTGGAAATAGTTGCAAAAACTTATTTCAATGTATTGACAGAGAATTTGGCTTCGAAGAACTGAGGCAAGTACAAAAAATCTTCAGTAGAGGATATCAACAGCTAAAATACAGGGTAAGTCAAAAGTAGCTGTACAACTTTGGAGGACTATAACTGTGTTACCTGCGGCCAAAATGTGTTGATATCAGCAGATATCTGTAGAGCGTAGCCTCAGGTTTCGTTTGATTGTTGTAGTTTTTCACATTGCTATTGAGAGCGCTTGTGAATTGCGGAAAACAAAATGGAGATTTATAGTGGCTTGGAAAGAGTCCGGCAGTGACCGGGCCTGGGAGACACTTGGTCAGATAGATCGGGCGAAGAGAATTTTGAAAAAATTAAAAATTATCAAAATATTAAAAAATGTTGGAAATTGTTCAAAAAGCGCACAAAACAAAGAATTTTTGAAAAATTCCACTTTCAAAATTTTTTCAAAAATTTCAAAAAAATTTTGATTTTGAGCGCTTTTCAGACAATTTCCAGCATTTTTCGATTTTTTGAAAAAACTGTAATTTTCCTTCAAAATTCTCCCCACCCGATGCCTGCCAGCCTCTGTGTCCGACGGGGCCTGTCTGTGACGTATCATCTCAGTGACGGACTCAGACCATGGTGCACCCAGTCTCTAGACCGTATGGTCTCTCTATAACCCTGTATCTTACGCGCCCTCGTTGCAAAGAACGCTTCCGGTGGAGACCGTGTGAGGCATAGACGTCCACCAGGAACTGTGAGGCAGAGGTCGAGTCCGCCAGAGACCTTGTGAGGAAGACTGTGTAAGGCAGAGAGCTGGTGAGGCTGTGAACGAGTCATGCAGAGACGTGCTGTGGCAGAGACGAGTTCTAGCAGGAAGCTTTTCTAGTGTGTTCTGGTGAAGCGAATTTTGAAAATTTTCGAAAAAACAAAATCTCGTCAATCCCGGACAATGACAGACACTTTCTGCGTTGTCCGGTGTGTTACGAGCATGGTGTATACCGGACACTGTCTCTGACGCGACCTGACTGTGCCTCTCCCAGTCTCTGCTGGATGTTGTCTGCCGTAGAATGTCTCTGGCCGTCGCGGTCTCTGGCAGTCCGAGTGTGTGGTTAAACGACTATGAAAGTTCGAAAAATTTTCAAAATGTTTTAAAAAATTGAAAAAGGTCGTAAATGTCATAAAAAGCATATTAAACGAAAATTTTTCAAAATTTTTGAATTTTTTTGAAGTTTAAATTTTTCAAAAATTTTCCGTTTTGTGAGCTTTTTGTACATTTTGCAGCAATTTTTGAATTTTCTTGTAAAAATTTGTGAGTTTTTTCAAAAATCTCTGATCAAAATTTCCTGGATCTTGTCTCTGTCGGACAGGGTTATGCCGGGCATGATTTCTGTCGGTCCCGGCCTCTGCTGAGTGACTGCTAGGCTAGGCTAAACTTGGCGAGATTTCGCTAGGCTTTCATTAGGTAGGTTTGTCTTGACTTTGTTAGGCTTGGGTTTGTTGTGGTGATTCTTAGTTTGGCTAGGCTAAGATACAGTTTGCTATCCTTAACTAGCGTTGGCTCTGCTTGTCTTGGCTTGCCGATTATGTAGTTTTTCCTGACAAAAATATACATGAATAGGGATGCCTGATTCATATGAGTAACTGCAGGCTGACTCCAACCACTGACCATTTGACCTTGATGAAAATGCAAGCATTGAGTTTTCAATTAATATCCCATTGTATATTCCCTGAAAGGTTTGTATTTCTTATTTTTAAAGATCTATGGTTACCGTCTTTGGTTTTTTTCACACCTAGACAGTGGTGAGGACTGCATTTATGGAGTGGGAGGGATTATTACATTAGTCAGTGACAGAATAATAAACAAGAAAGTGTTGAAGATGGATGTCTTCTGTGTTGCTGCACCGTGTAGTCTAGTAAAAGTTTACTCTGCCAGACTACATGGCGCAAAAACCCAGAAGACATCCAGCCATCTTCACACTCACCGCTGTGAAAACCTCAAATCCTTCTCAGAAAATGTTGGTCTGTAGAGGGGTCTACAGATGCATGTGGACCCCGAACCATGATGGCAGGCTGGTGTTCTTCACATTATCAAATTTTTATCTTTGGCAGAGATGATAGTTGATTATTCTGTGAACAGAAAAATCCATGAACAGTTTTTACTGCTGATTGAACCGAGAACCCTCCATATGAGTCTTATGCTGAGACCACACAGTACCCATCAGAAATTTTCTGAACCCTTGAAAGAGCATATAAAAATGTTCAAAAAGTACTGTTGTCAGTTTCCTGCCACTTGAATATGTTGAGTTATATTTTCTGAAATAGACGCTCATCCTGTCTGCTCGTTACGGGAATTTAGGTTTAAGTCCTGGGACTAATACACTGCTTCTTATTGCAGACCACAACTTTTTCTTCATGAAGCTCAGCATAGAACGTGTCATGATAGTGGATTACTTTGGCGGACCAATCTATGTTGATGTGGATGACTACTTCAATGTGACACCGTAACCTTTTCATAGCCTGCTTGTTATCAGCACTGGAACAGCATGGCGACTCCTCTGTTAACAGCAATACCGGGAATGTAGGAAAGAAAAATTATATAACGTAAAAGTACAAATGCCAACTTCCTGCTCACACTTCCGTCCCCCCCTCCCCCCGGTCTCTTCTTTAGATAATTCTGCATATAACGTGTAGATTGTTTTGTGGTACGCAGTCAAGTATATTTATTGGAGTGCTCTGCGTACAAAATTTTATCAACTATAAACCTGCCATTCTGCTCGCTCGCTAACATGAAATCCTACATAGAACGAAAAATTATTTTACACAAAAGTTGCAGTTATTAATGAGACATATTTTATTTTTGGTGGGTTACGTGATTACTTTGATATTTTGAATACTGTGGAAACTTTCTACACGTTACATGATTGGGTGATTTAATTTGGGTCTGTCACAATGCAACAAAGCAAGATGCCTCGATTGATTTATCACCCATCTTGCTTTGCTGTGCTGAAGAGATGAAGACGGTAACTGATTCAGTGAAATGCTTTGGAAAGTTGTGTCTGTATGCTTAAATATTTATTACTGTTTTATTGTTATTTGCATAGTTATAATAAACATGATGCAACGATGAAGACTCTTAACTTTGATACCTCACTTGTAATCATCAAGATACTGAAATTTGAGTTTTCCATGGCTGCTTAGTGTCACTGTCATGAAGAAACTGATCCATATGTAAAAACGTAGGTGAAACTAAGTAAATGAGCACATCATGACATAAAAGACTGCATGAAAGACTGACTTTCAATGAATGTTAATCAAAGTCCACAGTCGTCTTCGCCTGTCTCGCATTGTCCGCATTACGAAATGTTGTAGGCCAACTGATATGTTGATCACTTCCCAAAGATTCATATCCAACCCTTAACCTGTGATGACACACGGACATTTTGGTCCAGGGATTAAATTGTTCAGTTGAAGTATAGACAGTTTTTCTTTTGCTAGAAAACCTTACCTTCTGAGACAATTGTCTAATGGCAACTGAACAATTGGGGGCATGCATATCTTGATATGCCTGATTACTAAAAGATTACTATATTTGCTTCTGCTGAAGCTACAAATTTCTAGATTTCAAATGCTCTTTACACTTTAGCATAAGTGCACAGAATGCCTTATGAGCCCATCCCTCTCTGTCACATTGTTCAGCTAACCTCCATTGACTCTACACCTAGGAACTGGGCAAACCCAGGACTTTATTATTATTATTGTTTATTATTGACTGCAAATGGGTTTTTACCTGGTGGCAGTGGTCCTACAATAAGACAAAACAATGAGACACAAAAGAACAATGAGATACAACAAAACAATAAGACACAACAGAACAATATCTACTGTGTGTCTGACGAACGCAGTCGTTACCTTACACGACCTCTGACGTGCAGTCACTGAAAAGCCCAGGTGCAGCAGAGATCCAGACGGGCAAACACACGGTCGGCCACACACCGAGACCTGCAGAGGCCGATTGATGAAGACAGCGAGACATTCGGCGACCGCGTGAGAGAGAGGCCGAGTCCGGCTGAGACAGGGTGAGGCATTCAACGAAGCTGGCATTCATCTCTTCGGGTGAGTTGTGAAAAATTTGAAAATATTCAACTTTTCAAAAAATCAAAAAATTCTGGAAATTGTCTGAAAAGCGCACAAAACATAAAATTTTTGAAAAATATCACATTCAAATTTTTCTTCGAATTTTTCAAATTCTTTTGGTTTTGTGCGCCTTTCAGACAATTTCCAGCATTTTTTGATTTTTGGAAGATTTTCAAAATTACCATCTCTTTTCAGAAGATACCCGAAGACATGCATGGCAGCCTCGGTGAATGCCACCGCTTGTCTCTTCCGGACCCGGCCTCTATCTCACACGGTTGCCGACTGCCTCCGTCTTCATCAATCGGCCTCTGCACGTCTCGGTGTGTAGCCGACCGTGTGTCTGCCCGTCTCGATCTCTTCCTTCTGAGGTGACTGCTGCGCCTGGGCTTTTCAGAGACTGCACGCCTGAGGCCGTGTGAGGCAACGACCGCCTTCTTCAGAGACAGAGTGGATAAGAGAATCCGACAATGACCGGTCCTGCAAGGCATTAGGTGGGCAGAATTTTGAGAGAAATTTTAAAAAATTCGAAATTTTCGAAAATTCAAAAAATGCTGGAAATTAACCAAAAAGCGCACAAAACATTTTTTTTTTTAAAAACATGACAGTCAAATTTTTCTTCGAATTTTTCAAAATTTTTTGATTTTGTGCGCTTTTCAGACAATTTCCAGCATTTTTTGATTTTTCGAAAATTTTGAAAATCTCAAAATTTTTCACAAGTCACCCGAAGAGATGCATGCCAGCCTTCGGTGAATGCCACTGCCTGTCTCTGCCAGACTCGGCCTGTATCTCACGCAGTTGACGACTGCCTCGATGTCTTCATCAATCGGTCTCTGCAGGTCCACGTGTGTGGCCGACCGTGTCTGCCCGTCTCAATCTCTGCCTTAAGAGCTGTCTGCTGCCCCTGGGATTTTCAGAGACTGCACTTCTGAGACCGTATGAGGCAACGACCGCCTTCTTCACAGACAGGAAAGATAAGAGAATCCGACGGAGACCGGTTCTGGAAGGCGGGGAGAATTTTGAGAGAAATTTTGAAAATTCGAAAATTTTCGAAAGATCAAAAAATGCTCGAAATTATGTAAAAACGCACAAAACCAAATTTTTGAAAAATATCACATTTAATATTTTCTTCGAATTGACTTCTCAAGACTTGGGACAAGTGACTTCTCAAGACTTGGGACGAGTGACTTCTCAAGACTTCGGACGAGTGACTTCTGAAGACTTGGGACGGTTGATTTCTGAAGTCTTGGATGAGAAGTGCGTGTCCCAAATCTTGAGTAGTCACTTGTCCCTAGTCTTGAGAAGTCGCTTTTCTCAAGTCTTGAGAAGTCACTAGTCCCAAGTCTTGAGAAGTGCGTGTCCCATGTCTTGAGAAGTCACTTGTCCCAAGTCTTGAGAAGTGCGTGTCCCAAATCTTGAGTAGTCACTTGTCCCTAGTCTTGAGAAGTCGCTTTTCTCAAGTCTTGAGAAGTCACTAGTCCCAAGTCTTGAGAAGTGCGTGTCCCATGTCTTGAGAAGTCACTTGTCCCAAGTCTTGAGAAGTGCGTGTCCCAAATCTTGAGTAGTCACTTGTCCCTAGTCTTGAGAAGTCGCTTTTCTCAAGTCTTGAGAAGTCACTAGTCCCAAGTCTTGAGAAGTGCGTGTCCCATGTCTTGAGAAGTCACTTGTCCCAAGTCTTGAGAAGTGCGTGTCCCAAATCTTGAGTAGTCACTTGTCCCTAGTCTTGAGAAGTCGCTTTTCTCAAGTCTTGAGAAGTCACTAGTCCCAAGTCTTGAGAAGTGCGTGTCCCATGTCTTGAGAAGTCACTTGTCCCAAGTCTTGAGAAGTGCGTGTCCCAAATCTTGAGTAGTCACTTGTCCCTAGTCTTGAGAAGTCGCTTTTCTCAAGTCTTGAGAAGTCACTAGTCCCAAGTCTTGAGAAGTGCGTGTCCCATGTCTTGAGAAGTCACTTGTCCCAAGTCTTGAGAAGTGCGTGTCCCAAATCTTGAGTAGTCACTTGTCCCTAGTCTTGAGAAGTCGCTTTTCTCAAGTCTTGAGAAGTCACTAGTCCCAAGTCTTGAGAAGTGCGTGTCCCATGTCTTGAGAAGTCACTTGTCCCAAGTCTTGAGAAGTGCGTGTCCCAAATCTTGAGTAGTCACTTGTCCCTAGTCTTGAGAAGTCGCTTTTCTCAAGTCTTGAGAAGTCACTAGTCCCAAGTCTTGAGAAGTGCGTGTCCCATGTCTTGAGAAGTCACTTGTCCCAAGTCTTGAGAAGTGCGTGTCCCAAATCTTGAGTAGTCACTTGTCCCTAGTCTTGAGAAGTCGCTTTTCTCAAGTCTTGAGAAGTCACTAGTCCCAAGTCTTGAGAAGTGCGTGTCCCATGTCTTGAGAAGTCACTTGTCCCAAGTCTTGAGAAGTGCGTGTCCCAAATCTTGAGTAGTCACTTGTCCCTAGTCTTGAGAAGTCGCTTTTCTCAAGTCTTGAGAAGTCACTAGTCCCAAGTCTTGAGAAGTGCGTGTCCCATGTCTTGAGAAGTCACTTGTCCCAAGTCTTGAGAAGTGCGTGTCCCAAATCTTGAGTAGTCACTTGTCCCTAGTCTTGAGAAGTCGCTTTTCTCAAGTCTTGAGAAGTCACTAGTCCCAAGTCTTGAGAAGTGCGTGTCCCATGTCTTGAGAAGTCACTTGTCCCAAGTCTTGAGAAGTGCGTGTCCCAAATCTTGAGTAGTCACTTGTCCCTAGTCTTGAGAAGTCGCTTTTCTCAAGTCTTGAGAAGTCACTAGTCCCAAGTCTTGAGAAGTGCGTGTCCCATGTCTTGAGAAGTCACTTGTCCCAAGTCTTGAGAAGTGCGTGTCCCAAATCTTGAGTAGTCACTTGTCCCTAGTCTTGAGAAGTCGCTTTTCTCAAGTCTTGAGAAGTCACTAGTCCCAAGTCTTGAGAAGTGCGTGTCCCATGTCTTGAGAAGTCACTTGTCCCAAGTCTTGAGAAGTGCGTGTCCCAAATCTTGAGTAGTCACTTGTCCCTAGTCTTGAGAAGTCGCTTTTCTCAAGTCTTGAGAAGTCACTAGTCCCAAGTCTTGAGAAGTGCGTGTCCCATGTCTTGAGAAGTCACTTGTCCCAAGTCTTGAGAAGTGCGTGTCCCAAATCTTGAGTAGTCACTTGTCCCTAGTCTTGAGAAGTCGCTTTTCTCAAGTCTTGAGAAGTCACTAGTCCCAAGTCTTGAGAAGTGCGTGTCCCATGTCTTGAGAAGTCACTTGTCCCAAGTCTTGAGAAGTGCGTGTCCCAAATCTTGAGTAGTCACTTGTCCCTAGTCTTGAGAAGTCGCTTTTCTCAAGTCTTGAGAAGTCACTAGTCCCAAGTCTTGAGAAGTGCGTGTCCCATGTCTTGAGAAGTCACTTGTCCCAAGTCTTGAGAAGTGCGTGTCCCAAATCTTGAGTAGTCACTTGTCCCTAGTCTTGAGAAGTCGCTTTTCTCAAGTCTTGAGAAGTCACTAGTCCCAAGTCTTGAGAAGTGCGTGTCCCATGTCTTGAGAAGTCACTTGTCCCAAGTCTTGAGAAGTGCGTGTCCCAAATCTTGAGTAGTCACTTGTCCCTAGTCTTGAGAAGTCGCTTTTCTCAAGTCTTGAGAAGTCACTAGTCCCAAGTCTTGAGAAGTGCGTGTCCCATGTCTTGAGAAGTCACTTGTCCCAAGTCTTGAGAAGTGCGTGTCCCAAATCTTGAGTAGTCACTTGTCCCTAGTCTTGAGAAGTCGCTTTTCTCAAGTCTTGAGAAGTCACTAGTCCCAAGTCTTGAGAAGTGCGTGTCCCATGTCTTGAGAAGTCACTTGTCCCAAGTCTTGAGAAGTGCGTGTCCCAAATCTTGAGTAGTCACTTGTCCCTAGTCTTGAGAAGTCGCTTTTCTCAAGTCTTGAGAAGTCACTAGTCCCAAGTCTTGAGAAGTGCGTGTCCCATGTCTTGAGAAGTCACTTGTCCCAAGTCTTGAGAAGTGCGTGTCCCAAATCTTGAGTAGTCACTTGTCCCTAGTCTT